GCCATGCTTGCAAATTTCATCCACCTTTGCCAAAAAAGGGGGGAAAGTGTTTTTTTAATTTCTCAGCAATGAAGGGAAGGGGGGGGAATGGAGCGTTGCTTTTTGTGGAGCAGATTTTGATGGATCCCAAGTTGAACCAGGTAACCAGTGATTTGGATTGAGGCAGGCTTCCTTTCAAAGAACCAAACTGAGAACTGACTTGGATATTATGGTCAGTACACTATTATGGTAAAATTAAAACCAGATTGCAGAGAACTTCAAAAGGACCATGCTGGATGAATGGGTAACATGATGTACATTGGGTTAAAGAAGCCTAACAATGTATACTGGGACGCAAGTGGCGCTGTGGGTTAAACCACAGAGCCTAGAACTTGCCGATCAGAAGGTCAGCGGTTCGAATCCCTGTGATGGGGTGAGCTCCTGTTGCTTGGTCCCTGCTCCTGCCAACCTAGCAGTTCGAAAGCACGTCAAAGTGCAAGTAGATAAATAGGTACCACTCCAGCGGGAAGGTAAACGGCGTACGCTGGCTCCCTTGGCCAATAAAGCGAGATGAGCGCCGCAACCCCAGAGTCGGTCACAACTGGACCTAATGGTCAGGGGTCCCTTTACCTTTACCCTTTAACAATGTATACACTATTAGGAGTATGAGCTTGTTGCAGATATTAATATTCACAGTTTGAAGCGATTGGAAACAGACACCTTTTGGAAATGAATCACTGTCCAGGCTGCTTCCTTCTTGTAGTTTCCTGTTCTTTCAGGTTTCTGCAGCACCACCTTAGTTTCCTGTGCATCAATTAAGCTATTATCCCCACTGCCAGGCGTTCCACTGTTGTCTGCAATATTGTTTCCCTCTCCCTCAAGATTTAGTTTAAAGCGCTCCTGAACAGGTTGACAAGACTCTTAGCAAACACGTTCTTGCCAGCCACTTTGAGGTGCAACTCAACTCTTGCCATTTCTCATGCCGTTTCTGAAAGTGCAAATTTGATAGATTCACCTTTAAATGCAAACTGATTCAAATGTCTCCCCCATCTCTAGCCAGGGGCTCATGTGCATTGGAAAGTAATGGCCAATTTCAGGTTCCTGCTGTATTTAAATGGAACAAAACAGATACTTCCAAGGAAATCTGGATGGATACAGGGCAAGCTGTTAGCTGCATTTTCCTTTTTACATAGTCTGGTTTCCTTCTCTGTCAATTCTGGAGAATTAGCCTCAAAGCAAAACTAGGCAGCAGCTAGTAGTCATTAGTATGCTCTGTGATCTTCCATTTATACGGTTACTTCTGACCCAATTTTTTTCTACAGCCCATGAGGTTGATCCCAGCACTCATTCTTTACAACATTATGGGTTGTTGTTTTTTTTTTAAAAAATGTCTAGTTGTGATACTTCCCAATTTGATGGTATTAGCCTATTTCTGTCGCCAAGGTATCTTACAGAAAATATTCATAAGCAAAAATTTAAATTCAGTGGAATAGCTTCTTGTGGCTCATTCCACACGAACATTATTTTATTTATAGTTTCCAATTTAGTCGCTCATTTCCCATGTGGTGTCTTGTAAAATACTTTGCCTAGTTCTCTGTGATGAAGACTGCAGTCCTGCAGTCAATTGCATGGGTATAAGCACTGCAGCTTTTTAAGAAAAGAAAGTGTGGCTATTGCATACACTTGAGTACACCCAGAAAAAAAAGCACTGGGTATAAGATTCATCTCACTTAGTAGCACTCACAGTAATTCTGAACAGTCGTGTATAAGATTGAACTGTAACAGTTCCCCTTATGTGATGGTCTGGGATTCGGACTCGGATGCTGAACCTGAGGGATCCCAGCCTGCACAGGAGTCCCTGCCTCCAGAACCAGCTGAGCCAGGGCTGGGACATGAGCCTGAAGGGTTCTCACCTGTGCTGGATCCTCAGGTGCAGGCATCAGCTGAGTCTGCTCTTGCTCCTGAGATGATGGAGGACCCATTGCCTGCAGGTGCTCCACTCTCAGCCCCGTCAGGGGAAGAGGAGGTTGCCTCTGTGTCCGTTATTCCTCCAGCCTCTCCTGAGCTGCAGAGGCTCAGGGCAGAGAGGTGGAGGGAACTAAGTTCCCACAGGAGGAGTGCTCACCTCCAGGCCAGGAGAGGCGAGTCACCAGAGGATCGGGGCCACCCTATGCCTCGGGGCAGATAAAAGCCGGCCAGCCCCAGGATGTGGGAGCAACATTGTTGGTTGCCAGTTCCTGCCTGAACCCTGTCCTGCTTTCCTGCCTGAGCTCCTGACCTGCCCTGGCTCCCTGCTTGCATGCCTGTTCCTGATTTCACCTGACTTCCTGCCCTGCACCCAGCTTCAGCTTCTACGGACTGCCTCCACCTTGCACCTTTGACCACAGACCGGACTTGGACCTCGCCTCTCGGGTAACCCACGGGACCAGCACACCTTAGTTCAATTGGGTTTACACACAAATAAATGCACAGGAAAAACCCATGTCTGAGTTTTATAACTTAAAGCTCAACTGACCTTTATACACAAGCATTTTTTTTAAAAAAAATCCTTTACAGTGGTGCCTTGGTTCTCAAACTTAATCCATTCCGGAATTCTGCTCCAAAATCAAAGCATTCCCAAACCAAGGCACGCTTTCCCATAGAAAGTAATGCAAAATAGGTTAATCTGTTCCAGACTTTTAAAAACAACCCCTAAAACAGCAATTTAACATGAATTTTACTATCTAATGAGACCATTGATCCATAAAATGAAAGCAATAAACAATGTACTGCAGTCACACAATAAATCAATCAGTAGCTGAACTTGGTTTCACACAGTCACAAAAACAAAACAACAAGAGCCACAAAAACAAAAACGCAAAATAAATAGCAAAAACAGACAGACCTCAGTATAACACTCAAAATGGAAGTGTGGCACTCAAAACGTAGCATGTGCGGCTTCCAAAAGAGTTTGCAAATCAGAACACTTACTTCTAGGTTTGCAGTGTTTGGGTTCCAAGTTGTTTGAGTACCAAGGCATTTGAGAACCATGGTACCACTGTATATAGAAGACAGTATGTCATGCAAAATGCTAGGCTTGAATCTTTCCTTAGTAGAATAGGGCTTTTTACCATGACAGGAAACAACACCTTTACAGAAAGAATACATGATTATAGCTTAGTTGTGGCTGAGAGCTAGGATGCATGTGTGGTTTGACAGGAATCTGTGTTGATGGATCAGTTGTCTGAAAAATGTGTTTTTCCAACTTACAGGGGTCCTTCTCCGCAAATTCCCCCAGTTAACGCCTCACAGATAGCCTACTCATCTGTCCGCATCATATTTGGGTATAGAATGGCCTCATCCTCTCTTGCCTTCAAAAGTGGCACTCCATGCTATGGTGGCTAATAAATTGTTGCAAGCTAGGGAACATCTGGAGATGTGTTCCCAAGTTTCCAAAGGAAATCTCTCTATTGCATCCCCTTCAGATTATTTGTTTTCTAGGGGGTGAAAGGAAGTGGAACCAAGTCCAGAAGTTTCCCTTGATGCAAAGCTGTGATTCATTAATGACTTACCCATTTACAAAATTCAAAGTGACTCTGGGCAGCAGATTTTTTGAAAAGGATGTGCTTAGTATAGCATCTCGTTTAGCAGTCATTAAGACGGAACTATTCTGGTAGTCGCTACTTGCATCAGTGGAATGAATGAGGGCCAGTTGAAATTGTTTGTTTCTGTCTAACGCAAAGGAATAATGATTTTGTTGCTAAGGCAGAATACTAGAAATGTATGTTATCAACCTGACTTTGCCATAGATTTCCCATGGGATGCTAGGCAGCACATTTGATCTCCCTGCCTTTGTTTATTCGTTCATCAAGTGAAAATGTAAGGGGTAGGTAGCTGGGGATCTGGTCAAGATCAAATATTCAGCTAGACATATACTGTGTGTAACTCAATCTGCATACATTGGATTATTATATATATTTTAAAGGAAGGCTGCAATGCTATAACTACTGTCCTGGGAGTAAGCCCCAATGGGACTCACTTTAGAGGCAGTGTGCCTAGCTTTGCGTTGTGAATAACGGTTCTAAATATAAGAGTTCTGGAAAACAGATTTCACCGGGCTCAATGTGATGATTATACTTGGGAAGTTTGACATTGGTCTGTTATACCTCTCACCACCCACAAGATGACAATAATAATAATAATAATAATAATAATAATAATAATTTATTATTTGTACCCCGCCCATCTGGCTTGGTTTCCCCAGCCACTCTGGGCGGCTTCCATAGAAACAAAAAATACAGTAAAATATCACAGATTAAAAGCTTCCCTGAACAGGGCTGCCTTAAGATGTCTTCTAAATGTCAGGTAGTTTTTTATCGCTTTGACATCTGATGGGAGGGCGTTCCACAGGGCGGGCACCACTACCGAGAAGGCCCTCTGCCTGGTTCCCTGTAGCTTTGCTTCTCACAATGAGGGAACCGCCAGAAGGCCCTCGGCGCTGGACCTCAGTGTCCGGGCAGAGCGATGGGGGTGGAGACGCTCCTTCAGGTATACTGGGCCGAGGCCGTTTAGGGCTTTAAAGGTCAACACCAACACTTTGAATTGTGCTCGGAAACGTACTGGGAGCCAATGCAGGTCTTTCAAGACCGGTGTTATGTGGTCTCGGCGGCCGCCCCCAGTCACCAGTCTAGCTGCCGCATTCTGGATTAATTGTAATGTTTAAGAGGCTTGTTTTCATATGATAAAAACCAGTAGCTTGCCTTGTTTCACCTGCCTGTATAAATGATATATCTATTAGAGTTAGGGGTTTGGTCTTGGTGCGGTTGTGGTGCAGTCAGGAACAGAGATATAAGCAGGACTGGCAGCCCTCTGCTCTGCTGTCGTGCCAGATCAGTTGCTTAGAAAAAGACCTGCTCCATCTGCCACTTGCTTTGTGTCCGTCAACCAGAAGCATTTCCCCCATGTAAGTATCTGCTTCATGATATTATTTCTAAAGGTCTTTCTCTGAGTGCCAGTGTGGTGTAGTGGTTAAGAGCGGTAGTCTCGTAATCTGGGGAACCGGGTTCGTGTCTCCGCTCCTCCACATGCAGCTGCTGGGTGACCTTGGGCCAGTCACACTTCTTTGAAGTCTCTCAGCCCCACTCACCTCACAGAGTGTTTGTTGTGGGGGAGGAAGGGAAAAGGAGATTGTTAGCCGCTTTGAGACTCCTGAAGGGGAGTGAAAGGCGGGATATCAAATCCAAACTCTTCTTCTTCTTCTTCTTCTTCTTCTTCTTCTTCTTCTTCTTCTTCTTTCTCGATCTAAGCTGGGCTCATGTCACATCTTTGTGATATTTGCCTAGAATTTTGCAGTTGTTTCAGACAATTGTCTTCTAAAACCAATATGTAAGCCTGGTTTTAGAAGACAATTGTCTTAAACAACTGCAAAATGTATTTCCCTCAGAAGTTCTAACTGGCAGACTGAGAGGCATCCCCTGTCAGAATAGGCTTTGTTTATGTTCCCAGGACGCCGATTGTATAAAGCCTATCCTACTGCATTGTGGGCAATATGATCAAGCAAAGGATAAACTGATCAAATCTTTACAGGCAAATTTTCCGGGAAAATCCAAAGCCTCCCATATTAAATATCTTTTGGAAGACTGGTCAAATGATATTACACTGGCGGTGGCAAAGTTTCTTTCGGAGGTTATAAGAAACAAAGATCATTATGCCCTAGATAAAACAAAAGGACTGCCTTGGTTTCTTCCATCTGTCTATTTTCTGTATCTGTATCTGTATCTATTTTTGAAATTGTTTTGTGGGTCTTTGGACCACAATAAAGTTTTGAATTGAAATTGGATATGTAAGCCAGACACATTTTTACTGTGTCTTCTTCTTCAGCGGCAGCAAACATTGCAGGGCATGAACTTGAGCAGAAAGCCAGAGGGCGTGGTCTTTAAAATGACCCATAAGCGGGAGGGGAGATTATGTACCTGGCTGATGTAGAGAACTCATCGCTCAGTAAGCTGGATAAGAATTGGATGGCATTGCTGCATGAATAATAGATCAGTAGTAGGAATCTCTTGGCTCCATCTAGATGCAGCTAAAGCCCTAATTTTTTAGCATTCTGCTCATGTGTACAAGTGAGAGGGGATGAGTGCACAAACATTCCCCCATGCCACTATCCTCCTTGCCCGCCAACTCTTGGAGGGTGAAGTCTTAAGCAGAGAGCCTTGTTTACTTGTGGAGGTCCCTCGCGTGATTTAGAAGCCTGTAAAGTCAGGATTCAAAATGGTATGAGAGACTCTGTGAGTAGAGGGAGCTCTCTGCTTTGCACTTCACCCATCGCAACTCGCCGGGTGACGGACTCCGTGAGATGGGGAGGGGAGCTTAGTATGCTCATCACAGCTCACCTTGCTCTCATGTAGGATTGTGTCAGGAATGAGCCAGCTCCTAGTGGATGTTTGCAGCCAACTGCATAAAGCAGCCAGGAACAGAGAGGTTTTGATGTCAGGCAGGCAGGGGAGAGCTGGCAGCTGCAGAATTCAGCTCTTCCTGACCTTTACAGGCATGCTGATAAGGCCATAGCTGAGAGCAGGCTAGAACATAGTCAAAGCTCTCCGGAAGCTCAAATAGAGAGAGTCTCTCGGAAAAGGAAGAGAAGGGAGATGATCCAATAAGTCCTCGGAGTCAGCAAATGGGTGGGTTGCAAGACAGGAAGCAAAACAAGAGACGTAAGGTGCGAAAGTTCAATATATTCTGTAGACACAGGAAGCAGTCTTCAGAAGGGACATCTTGAGTGATAATGCCAGCGGCTGCATTAGAGCTGTCCGGAGGTATCTGTTTTTGCAATAAATCCTCCTTTTTAATTACCCACACTTACTGTGTTATCAAGCTGGGAATCTGGACTCCTGACAGATTGACACATGAGCAGAAAGCCCATCTAAAAACTTAAGTCTACTGCCATATAGGGACTAAATCATATAATGACATTATCCACACACCTGTACACATTTACTTGGCATTAAGTGGTTTTTACTTCCAGAAAGACCTATGTCAGATTTCAGAGTAAGTTCTCTTGACTAGGAGCTGTGCTTTTGAGGAAAGATAATTTATTAGAGAAATATCAGAGAGCAACCAATAGTCCCAACAGGATGGAAAAGACACTGCCCAGAGCATGCCGAAGCAGTGGAGTCCAATTGACACAGGACAAATAAATTTCACTTTTGTTGTATTTTATATGCAACCAGTGGAATAATTCATTATGAACAGATTAATAGAACACATAAAATATCAGTAATAGGTAAGTTCATAAGTTAGCATAATACATAATGACTTCTGTTTAAATATGATCTACACAGAATACTTGTATCTTTGTAATAAAATGCTGTTGTTAACTCTTATGATACGGAAAGTTGGGGGTGTCTGGGTATAGGGCGGTATGTAAATTCAATCAATCATTCAATAAAATATTAATGACTGGGCTTTGAATAAGTAAGGAATTAACTCCTGGGCAATATTACAGCCCTAACTTTTGAAGTCAGTGAAATACTCATTAGTGATTATAAACATGGCAGGTTTGAAATGCTTTCCTGCAGCGAGACATATTTGCTCATCAAATGTCCTTAAAAGACTTGGCATCAAATCCGTGCCATGAATCTGACAGTGTGGGAAGCAGCAGGCTGCACATGTCATGAGGGAAAGTGACTCATATCAAACAGAATTTGCTCTCCTGACATAGCAATGCACAACTCCATCACTGATTGGAGGAAGGAACTGTGCTAACAGAGGCATATTAGGATATTTCTTCCTTTTGCTTTATCCTTGCTGCAGTTTGACAATGCTGAATCCATCTTGGCATATACGTACTTGGAAGTCTGTAAGAGGTGGGGCTGATCTACTCCCTCTAGTTTAAGGAAATGTTCTGCACAGATTTTCCTCTATGTGCAGCAAAGTTTCCAACTTTTGGAGTGGTGCATTCTTTGCTAATGCTGAACTCAGTATGCTCTTCTTGGGAGACTCTAATTTGGGACAAATAATTTGTTTCCAGATGCAGATGATATGCGCTATAGAACCAGATATAGGACCTTTTTGGTTGTGGCCCCTAGAAATTGACACAACCTCCCTAGATGGGCACAATGTGTCTCCACCATTTGTCAGTTTTAGTTAAGCAGCAAAAATGGCTCTATATTTCCATGAGCCACTGCTTTTGGGGTTGCATTTTTGCTGCCACTTTTAAAACAATGACGGCTCTCGATTCATATTTTAGATTATTGTTTTCAGCATTGGTCAGCTGCTCTGATCCCATTCTAAAAGAAAGGAATGACAACAAATGTCCATGAGGAGAACCCATAAGCTATGTAGTCTTATTAGGAACTGGCAGCTTAAAATAGACAAGCAAATTTATCTGAAATGTTGATTTAGCCATGTTGGAATGGGTATAACAGTGATCACTTTTAAATGGTGGGTTTTTATTATGGGTAATAAAACACTTACATGCTACAGAAACGACACATAAGGTTTTCAAATGGCTGAAACTGTTGAGCTTAATGGGTACTGGAGGCATGATAAAATCACAATTTTCTTCAGTTTACAGCTCTTGCCATTTATTTTTTCAGGGACTGTACATTGGAATAATCTTATACTGACAGCTCTGCATCCCTACAAGCTGGCTTGATATCACATCCTAAGACAGGTAATAACTAAACAGAAAACTGCAACAAGAACGCTCGTAGAGGGAACATGGGCTGAATATAATAGACCAAACAGCACTCTTCAGGCCTTCAGCCTGATCACTCAAGGGCTTAGTGCTTCTGGAGAGGCACACCCCTATGTCCACTGCATGCTGGGTTCACCCCTCCACCCAACTCTTCATGTGTTTAGTGCAAACATAGGAGGACTGTAGCTTCCTCAAAGAACATCTGCTTTGCATATAGAATGTCCCAAGTCACCAGCATCTCTAAGTAGGACCGGGAATGTCCCCATTAGAAATTCTGGACAACCACTGCCAGTCAGTGCTGACAATATTGGGGTATATGTGTGAAGCATAATTGTTTAATTCACACTGAAATTGAGAATGCCTGTGTGTGTATTGTTGCAAGGATTTACCTGGAAGATTCCATTGAAGCTCAAGAAGAGCTCTCTCTAAGCACTTAGATAAGTTGATAATTAGTTATTGATCTCTGCTAGCTCTGACCGTAGTGTTTAACCTTAAATCAGGTGATTAAGGTCTTGAACTGCAAATCACTATTTTGAAAGGGAGTTGCCTTTAGTTCTTTTGTTCACAGGCTCTGTGGGATGTGTAAACGACCCTCTCCAGAGAATGAATACAACTCCAGGCAAAATGGAGGTTGTAGAAAGAGAGACGTTTGCTTCTAGGTCTGTTTGGAATTATCTTTTATTTCCTATAAGATGCTGAGCCTCAGCTGGACATGCACAATATATTGTATGGAATTATTTGGATGTATATTTGATGTTTTATTCTGTTTTGAAGAAAATTCTGCAAGTTAAACTTGAATCAAGCTTATGAGTCTGGACAATGCTTTATTCCAAAAGGAGTCAATTTTTATACATCCAGTCACTTCAATCTGCACAGTATTAATATCTGCAAGAAGATGGACCAGTGATACGACTCACTATAAAGAAGCTTCCTTTGTTGCTAAACGACTGAAACAGGGTTCTAACTGTGCAGTTAGAAGCCTCCACATGATCAGGAATCCTGTTTTATCAGGCTTCCTGTTCTCTGCAAGGCTTCTAACGGCATTTAGCTAACAGTAGTTAGGAGGCCCCTTAAGGTAAAGATAAAGGGACCCCTGACCATTAGGTCCAGTTGTGGCCGACTCTGGAGTTGCGGTGCTCATCTCGCTTTATTGGCTGAAGGAGCCGGCGGGCAGCTTCTGGGTCATGTGGCCAGCATGACTAAGCCGCTTCTGGCGAACCAGAGCAGCGCATGGAAATCTGTTTACCTTCCTGCCTTTATCTACCTTTATCTACTTGCACTTTGATGTGCTTTTGAACTGCTAGGTTGGCAGGATCAGAGACCGAGCAATGGGAGCTCACCCCATTGCAGGTATTTGAACTGCCGACCTTATGATTGGCAACTCCTAGGCTCTCTGGTTTAACCCACAGCACCACCCTCGTCCCTAGGAGGCCCCTTAAGACCTTTCAAATGCTGTGGGGTGGAGGGGGCATGCCTAGTGTGGGGTGGGAGATGTTGGGCGTGGGGACGGCAAACATGTACTAGGTCCTCAACACACTGTTGACCCTTGTGTGAAGGGGGTGTGATAATATTAAACAGGAAGCACAGTATGCAAAAATGCCAGCTGTGTATTTGCTTAAGAATGGTAGAAGAGCCTTGCTGACTCAGGGCCGTGGTCCATGTAGTCCATTCTCACAGTGGTAAACCAGGTGTTCATGGGAAGCCTATAAGCAGGTCCTGAGTGTGACAGCTTTCTCCCCCTTTGTGTTTCCCAGAAGCAATCCAATTCCAACAGTGGACGGAGAACATAGCGGTTTTGTCTAGCAGGCAGGGCTCCTTTTATTTTCTTATAAGAATTATAAGGCACTGTGTTCATTGAAACTGGTTCAGACATAATGAATACATTCGAGGTGATTGTTTTGGTGTGCGAATACATCTGAGGAATTTGATGGATGAATGGTTTGTAATGTCAAAACTGAATACAATAAATAGGAATGTTTTCTTTGCTGGTATATGTAGAATATGACTGTTATACTCGAGTAAAAATAAAATTTAAAAAATGTTCTCACCCCCCTCTCCCACATTTTCAAACCAATGTTATGACGGATGGATGGCCAAACATACAAATAAAACTCATAAAGTGATAAAGATGATGAGTGATGATTGCCGACTGCTCTGTAATTAAGGAGATCACAGGAGATTGCTAAAACTAGTGCATTACCAACTGGCGAATTAATATTATACGCTGAAACATGCCACATGGGAAGAGTTGGCTATGCTAATATTGTATTAAAGCGATTGCCAGTGGCAAATATTTCACTGGAGAGAATTCAAAACAAAGCTTCAACTCCAGGCAAAATGGCTTAATGCATGATATGCAGTTTCCGAACAGAAATCATTAAGAGACGAGAAAAGCATCTTTGCATCTTTGCTATTACTTGTGCTGAACAGCAACTGTGTATCATGTACATCTCAGGCCCAACGTTGCTCTCTGTGGGGCTGCCTTTGAAAAGTGCTCAGAAACTTCATCTGGTTCAAAGAGATGCAGCCCACTTGCTCACCAGGACTGGTTATAGGGAGCAAACAACTAACTCCCTTATTAGAACAGCTGTACTGGCTACAAGTTTGTTTCTGCTCACAATTCAGAGTGCTGATTAAGATCTATAAAGCCCTACACGACTTAGGGCCGAGCTATTTGAAAACTGTGGATGAAGTTTCATGGGGGCTTTTTAAAAAGAAAAATAATGAAAACTGCTGTGGGGGTGTGGAGAACTGAACCGAAGTTTGGAAAAAGGGGAAACTGAGAGAAACCAAAAAAAGGCAGAATTACTCATCCTTCGGCTGACCTTGATCTGTTCACTGTAATTTAAGCAGGGAGTTCTTTGAATGCTCACCCCATCCATAGGCAAAACAAAATCAGAATGAGGGAACCAACAGAATGAAAAACAGTGTACAAACGGTCATGGTATTAATTGTTTCATAAGCAGCCTGCAAAATATGAAATACAGATTTTTCATTTTGTGGAATAAATGCACACAAAAAACCGCCTGGTTTTATCAAAAGTAATCAGTCCCACGCGGGTGGCGCTGTGGGTAAAACCTCAGCGCCTAGGACTTGCCAATTGTCAGGTCGGCGGTTCGAATCCCCGCGGCGGGGTGCGCTCCCGTTGCTCGGTCCCAGCACCTGCCAACCTAGCAGTTCGAAAGCACCCCCGGGTGCAAGTAGATAAATAGGGACCGCTCCGGCGGGAAGGTAAACAGCGTTCCGTGTGCTGCGCTGGCTCGCCAGATGCAGCTTGTCACGCTGGCCACGTGACCCGGAAGCGTCTCCAGACAGCACTGGCCCCCGGCCTCTTAAGTGAGATGGGCGCACAGCCCTAGAGTCGGACACGACTGGCCCGTACGGGCAGGGGTACCTTTACCTTTACCTTTAATCAGTCCCACAGCCTTGGAATTAGCTAGAATTTGAAGAAAGTGGAGTTCAGTTCTACCGAAATATTTGTTTGCTTGCTTGACAAGATTCATATACCCAGTGCTTTTTTTTACTAAAAAAATGTTTAGGGGTAGTCATTTTTACTCAAGAGAATCACCATTTTATAAATACAGTAAATGGACAGATATTCACAAAAATTTTAGGCGTATGTGTACCCCTGCATACCCCCAGAAAAAAGCACTGCATATACCACTTAAATAGCAAAAAAGTGTGTTACATTTAACAATATATAACATTCATTTAAAATTACTGGTAATATGAAACATTTTTAAAATGAATTAATATAACATTTATTAAAAGACAAACAAAATAAGCTAGTTTAAAACAAATATACACAATAAAATTATACTTAAAAATCTTGGGTTAAAATTATATGTCTGGGTAGGATTGCCTAAACAAAAAAGTTTTTGAGGTGCTGGAAACAATACAGTGAAGTTATTGTATATTCTGAATATAAGCAGCTGTGTTCTGTTTTTTTCTTCTTTTCTGAATGCTACACACTAGCAGAAAAACATAACCTCTAATCTCTCTCATCTAAACCTCACTCTAGGGATGACTCTCTGTAACTGTCAACCTTCAGAAATACCTTTGTAAGAAAATATATATATATGACTTATCAATTTCACAAATAAAAACAAAAGGATGCAGAAAACAAAGCATAATAAAAAATAAGGCAAGAGTTGTTCTTTTTAAAAAAGCTCTTTATCAGTGGTATTGAAATATTATTTTCTAGTGTTGTTATTGCAGGTTGACTTGTGGGTCTGGTTCCGACTGAAAGACAAGATGCAGAAACCTCACCACTACCATCTTGCCATCTAAGAAGTACCGAAGTACAGCCGTACCTCTGCTTATGTAAATTTTGGATGTAAATTTTGGGATGCGAACGCGGCAAACCCGGAAGTATTTTTCCGGGTTTTGCTGCATGCACATGCACAGGGACAGTCCTCTGGTTGTGAATTCCTCAGGATGTGGCTGGACCTCCAGAACAGATCCCATTTGCAACCAGAGGTAGCACTGTACTGAGCATGTGGTTCACAAGCCTATTTAAGAAGAATTTGGCAATACGGTGGTACCTCGGGTTAAGTATTTAATTCGTTCCAGAGGTCTGTTCTTAACCTGAAACTGTTCTTAACCTGAAGCACCACTTTAGCTAATGGGGCCTCCTGCTACCGCCACGCCGCTGGAGCACGATTTCTGTTCTCATCCTGAAGCAAAGTTCTTAACCCGAGCTACTATTTCTGGGTTAGCGGAGTCTGTAACCTGAAGCGTATGTAACCTGAAGCGTATGTAACCCGAGGTACCACTGTACAAGTAAGCAGCTTTTGTGTTGTTGTTTTCTTACTGTTGCTGTTTTTATTTCTTTGTTGTTGTTGCTGCTGCTGTCACTATCAAACCTATACAGTGGTTATATGCCAAGATGGCTTTTCAGCGGCTTACAACTGTAAAATCAATTATAAATCCACACTGTGAGTTAAGATACACAATAACAATTCCATCGGACTATAAACATCCTACATTAAAATATACAATAGAACTGTTCAAAAGCATGACAATTAAAGCAGTTTTTAAAAAAAATCGTGAAAACAGTTCAGAAGACTGCGGGGGACTCAAGTAATTGAACCAGCAATCTGTTATGAACTCAATAGGGCTTATTTCTGATTAGATGTGTGTAGGATTGCTTTGTGAGGCCCTTGGAAAAAACTGGATTAATAAAATACACCACCCTCTACCCTTCCTTTCCATTTTTGTAACTTACGTAGTATTAGAGCCAACTCATTAGCCCTCATCATACAACTCATGTAAAGAGGAGAAGTGACTTGAGAAGGGCTGTGGGGCCATGTTTATTGCCCCACCACCATGGGACATAACTTCTCTCCAGTCCTGCCCCCACTGTCCACACATGCCCCACGTGGTTCTGCTTCACACAGAAGTTCCCCCAGATTCTCAAATCCTGCCTCCAGGATCAGGAGAGGCCTCTTGCAAAGCGGCGAATGCGCAGAGCTAAAAATGTCACACCAGACAACTCTGCGCAGTAGGAACAGGGCTGGGCGGAGTTCGTGCAGCATGTGGATGAACCACAAGACTCTTTCCTCTTCAACTCTGTATCTCTGATACAATCTGAATTCCAGAAAAGCATCGAAGCTATCCATCAGATGCAGCCAATATTCTTGCCAAGTAGAGGCCCCTTCATACATTACTCATGAGCAAATCTGGCACTGAGAAAACCTCAGCCAATTATGCCTCCCCGACGACTATAGCTGTAAATGATTCACATATTGCTTGTCATATTCACATTCAAAACATCGTATGCAAACAGACCTGCAAGAACAATTGATCATTCCAGGATTGGCATACCTTCAAGAAGCCATGTTTCATGCCAAGCTACACGCAATGATAATTGCATGGAGGCAATTGATGTGCTTTATAAACTGGGAAGAGAGGGGTTGATTGTTTAACCACTCTGGGTATTGTAGCTCTTGGAAGGGACAAATTTTCAAGCATACTGAAGAACATAAGAAGAACCCTGTTAGATCAAAGCAGTGGTCCATCTATTTCAGCATCCTGTTCTCACACCGGACAATCAGATTGTTCAGGAAGCCCATAGGCTGGGCTCTGGCGCCACCTACTGTTGGTCCTCCCTGCATTCTACCTCACCAGTCTCGAATGACACCTGCCACCACAGGGGGTAGGCAGGAGGGCTTAGCCTCAGTCCCAGCACAAATGCAATTAATGTCATTCATTTGCCCAGCTATTCTGGGCGGCTTCCAACACATATAAAAACATAATACAGTGGTACCTCGGGTTAAGAACTTAATTTGTTCTGGAGTTCTTAACTTAATTTGTTCTGGAGTTGTTCTTAACCTGAAACTGTTCTTAACCTAAAGCACCACTTTAGCTAATGGGGCCTCCAGCTGCCACTGCGCCGCCACTGCACAATTTCTGTTCTCATCCTGAAGCAAAGTTCTTAACCCGAGGTACTATTTCTGGGTTAGCGGAGTCTGTAACCTGAAGCATCTGTAACCCGAGGTACCACTGTAAAACATTACACTATACAGGGCTGCCTTCGGATGTCTTCTAAAGGTTATGTAGTTACTCATCTCCTTGACATCTGATGGGAGGGTGTTCCACAGGGTGGGTGCCACTACCAAGAAGGCCCTCTAATTAATCTCGTGTACTCTCCTTTCCCTCTGAACGCTCACAGATGCACATTTATGGCTGAAGCAGCTTCACAGAGGACTTTTCTGGTGAGCAAGAAGAGAAGCGATGTGCAAGAACATTTTTCTTTTTTCTTTTGGGTAACTGACAAGGAGAGAATGTGGGGTAATTGGTGTTGTAAGCAAATCCCTTTTATCGTAATTTCCCCAAGCCTTGAGCATTGGAGAGTCAGTCCAAGCACTTGCTGACAAGCTGTTCTCCAGTTTATTAGGGTTCCTTCCCAGGAGGGTTGGATTCAATTATGTGATTCGGAAATTTCCCAAGAGAGCTTCAGTGTTATACCAGCAGGGTTAACATTCAGCTTTTCTTCTTCAGGTTACAAATGTCTTGGTTTTCCAAACTTTTAATCTGCCCTAACACATTTAATCTGCCCTAACACATTTAAATGCACTAGACGGAAATGACATTTCAACTATTCTGCTGGTTTTACCTCCTCATCTCATCCTTAGAGAAAAAGATATCTAAAACTCCATTTCACCTTTTTTTTTTTTTAATACAATTCACTTCTAACATATTGTGTGAATGGCTTTATATGTATAACTCTCAGAGAAGCCTATAAACCTGTAAGTAGCTGCTGCAAGAATCTTGCAGTTAGCAGATCTTGTTTGGGCTCAACTTGTGTATATTTGTAGACACACAATAGGCACAATTTAACAAAATGAGTACTCATTAATGGTTCCTTGTCGTCCTGGCAAAAAGTGTCAAGTGGGGTGCTGTAGGGTTCTGTCCTGGGGCCATTGTTGTTCAATGTCTTTATAAATGACTTGGATGAAGGAATTGAGGAGATGCTCATCAAATTTGCAGACACTAAACTGGGAGGGGTAGCTAACGCTGCAGAAGACAGAATTGTGATTCAAAATAACCTTAACAGATTGGGGAACTGAGCCCAAACTAACAAAATGACAATTGTAAGGTTCTGCACCTAGGCAGGAAGAACCAGCTGCACAAAGATAAGATGGGGAACACCTGGCTTACTAGTAGGACATTTGAAAAGGATCTAGGAGTCTTGGTGGACCACAAGAGTCAACATGCAGCAGCAAAAAAGCCTAATGCTATTCTAGACTGCATCTAGACTGCAAGTATAGAGTCCAGATCAAGGGAAATAATTGTACCACTCTATTCTGCCTTGGTCAGACCACAGCTGGAATACTGTGTTCAGTTCTGGGCACCACAGTTTAAGAAGAATATTGATAAGCTGGAACGTGTGCAGAGGAAGAGACCAAGATGATCAGGCATCTGGAAACCAAGCCTTATGAGGAATGGTTGAAGGAGCTGGGTATGTTTAGTCGGAAAAGAGGAGACTGAGAGGAGATAGGATGATAGCCATCTTCAAATATCTCAAGTGCTGTCACATGGAAGTTGGAGCAAGCTTGTTTTCTCCCTGCTCTGGATGGCTTCAAGTTAGGAGAAAGGAGATTCCAGCTAAACATCAGGAAGAACTTTTTGGCAGTAAGAGCTGTTAGAGACAGTGGAATGGTCTTCCTTAGGAGGTTGTGGACTCTCCTTCGTTGGTTTTAAAGAAGAGGTTTGGAGGTATGTGTTATGGATGCTTTAGCTGAGATTCCGGCATTGCAGAGTGCTGGCGAGATGATCCATGGGGGTCCCTTCCAACTCTACAATTATGTGATTCTGTGAAATGTAAGCACGACTACATCCCATTGATTTCAATGGAGAGAGTCAAGTACATGCATAAATCTCTCAGCAGAAATCAATAGAGCAAGTCTCATTTGCCTTTGGCTGGATCACGCTCAATAAATGTGTGCATTGCTAGCTATCCAAATGGTTTTCTGGAAATGCTTTTGTAATTTTAGGGTGCTTCCAGATTGGGCGGTGGGGTGGAGTCATATCACAAACAGGTCATAAAGACCCAATTATTCTGTCTGCACATTTGGCATATCAGCTTCTACACCCCACCCCATCCTAGTCTTGGATATTCATTGCTATTCCACTGCTTTGATGGAATATACCATCAAAGCAGAGATTGATATACGGACAGGAGAGGGGACGCTGTGTGTGTCCTTCCCTGCAATCATTCCTCCAGCTATCTATTTTGGTACCTGTGCATGAGCACCATTAGAAAAGTGTGCAAAAGCAAATGTTACCATACTTTTTTACCAGTGTTATACAATGGGCACAGTGGCAGTTTGGGGGAGATTTGGGGAAGCAAATAGGCTAGATTAAATGTTTCCTACCCAGGCTCCCTAAGCAAGTCAATCGCCTCCTCACTTCAGCTGGATCTAGGCACACCTGCTTTAGATAAGGTTTTTGTCTTGAATTTCAACCAGTGACACTTTTGCTCAATTTCCAGACTGTGCTTTTGATCGGAATGACATGCTCTCAGCAGCTGGCATGTTTAATGACATCACCAGGATGTTTAATGACATCACCAGATTCCCCTAGGTCTCAGGTTTGGGGCCCTGAAATCTCTGGATTTGGGATGCTCCTAACTCTAGTTAGGTAGGGACGCGGGTGGCGCTGTGGGTAAAACCTCAGCGCCTAGGGCTTTCCGATCGCATGGTCGGCGGTTCGAATCCCCGCGGCGGGGTGAGCTCCCATCGTTCGGTCCCAGCTCCTGCCCACCTAGCAGTTCGAAAGCACCCCTAAGTGCAAGTAGATAAATAGGTACTGCTTTATAGCGGGAAGGTAAACGGCGTTTCCGTGTGCTGCGCTGGCTCGCCAGAGCAGCTTCGTCACGCTGGCCACGTGACCCGGAAGTGTCTGCGGACAGCGCTGGCCCTCGGCCTCTTAAGTGAAATGGGCGCACAACCCTAGAGTCGGACACGACTGGCCCGTACGGGCAGGGGTACCTTTACTTTTTAACTCTAGTTAGAGGGGAAGGAAAACGTTTAACATTGTTCTTATTTTACTTTGCTTCCTTAAAGGCCAATTGGGTTTATTTATTTATTTAATTATATTTCTATCCTGGTCTTCCACTAAGGAGCTCAGGGTGGCTGAGCAAATTTTGCCCCATCGCGGCCAACCAATACCCTGGCAGGCTGTTTGTATGTTAGGCTGAAAGAGAAAAGACCAGACCAAGGTCATACAGTCAGCTTCAAGGCTGAGTGGGGGTAAGATTAATCTCCTCTATATAGATTTCCTTCTGAATACCTATCTAAATATCTATCATCATTCAGTTAGTCAAGGAAGTAAATGAAGCAGCCCTTGATCAAAAGATAGGCATGAGGGTTAGGACAACTGCTGCACACTGGATGTAAGGAAGCTGACATTATGCTGGTAGATGCAGAAGCAGGAGTGTATAATGGTTAGAGTGTTGGACTTAAAGCAGAAAGACCTAAATTCAGATGAGGTGACTCTGGGACAGACATTCTTTCAACTTGCTCTATGTTTGAGGGTTAGCATGATGCCTAAAAAAAAAACACCATGTACACCAGCCGTACCTACTAAAAAATGCAATAAACAGAAATTTCTGACTAACAAGGAGGCATTGGGCATTAGAATTTACATTTCAAAGTTACAGAGTCTGCTCACAAGGGACTCCTGCTTTCCTGTGTATAATGAAGCCTTTGTTTTTGTTTGCTTTCAATCTGCCTCCAAGCCATCTATTTTGTTTACCTTTATGGATAATGGGCACTGAAGGCATTCTTGGCAAAGTCCTGGGTGCTCTCCTAGATGCAGCTCCAACCATCTCAATGAGATACCATTTTAATAGGTCTTCAGGGGGAGGGAATTAAGAGTGAGGCATCCCTTTGCAGGACTGTGTTTTGTTTTGTTCCAGGGTTAATTCTTCTTTCCATAGTATTGCTCCTCACCGCCAGGTCAAATGATCCATTATTGACCTTTAGGAGATGGCTTATGAGTATTTCATTATGCACCAAAAAAATAATATGCCAAATAATAGCATTATGCTCAGTGTTCCTTTGCAGATGATAATCCCTTGAGTAACCTAGCTCATATAAACAGTTCTAGCAGAAATGTACATAAGGCTAGGTATGCATGAATATGAATTTGGGCAGAAACATTGTGTAGGTCTCAGAATAAAACAAACTCAAATGATGTAGAATCGTGTTGCTGCTCAGCAAAGGTTAGTGAAGTAGAAAATAAACAAGGATTCAGCATTATTCCTCCTCTTCTGTGTGAGCTGGTTCTGGTTTTGAAAAGTGGAGTGTTGATGTGTATCTTGTCCTTGCTATGTATACTATTTCATACATGCCTTCCTGCAAAATGTGAAATAGATAAAATCAGCTGTTATTATTTAGGGGTATATATCAAGAACATTTGGCTTCCAATTTTAAGAATCTTCTCCAGGAAATACTATTCCACAGTTCAATAGCTTTTATTAACAGAAATCCTGCAATATCTCTGTGGGTTGTGATTTTTGTGTGGTTCCTTTCAGAAGAATATAATAGACATAGCTGTACAAGATAGAAATCAAGGTTGGTGGATTTTGGTGGGGGGTTGTTGTTGTTTTTTGACAGACAGCATGGACACTGGGGAATGAGGAAGCATAGGAATGTTTCTATGGAAATCAGGCTACCTGCCTGATCCCTTGCTTATGTAAAGGCAAAGGACCCCTGGACAGTTAAGTCCAGTCAAAGGTGACTATGGGGTGCGGCGCTCATCTCACTTTCAGACCAAAGGAACCGCCGTTTGTCCACAGACAGCTTTCCGAGTCATGTGGCCAGCATGACTAAACTGCTTCTGGTGCAACGGGACACCATGACAGAAGCACTGGTTACCTTCCCACTGCAGCAGTACCTATTTATCTACTTGCACTGGTGTGCTTTCGAACTGCTAGGTTGGTAGGAGCTGGGACAGAGCAACTGGCGCTCACCCCGTCGCAGGGATTCAAACTGCCAGCCTTCTGATTGGCAAGTCCAAGCGGCTCAGTGGTTTAGACCACAGCGCCACCCACGTCTCTCCCCTTGCTTATGTATGTATAAAATGCAGGTACTTTGTTCAAGCACAAAGCAGGTTATATCACTTAAAACAGCAACCCAAACCCTCTTGAACAACCTCTGCACATCCCCTTAGTCACTGCGTGCTATTTGCCTTCAATCTATATAACAAAGAAGATACTTCTCACAGCAATTAAGGTAATTTCCAGAGGTCCTCATGGTTCAACCACTTCAGTAGATCCAACTCTTTCAACCAGTGTTGGAAGGACCCCTCCCCCAAAAGGTCACCCAACCAACACCTCAAATTCTCAACAATAACAAAAGTGTATAAGAACATAAAAAGATTCTTGTCACGGCATACCAAGGGTCCGTCTGGCTTTCAGTGATGGCAACTGAACATGAAGGCAATAGCATTGGCCCACCGTTCATCCTCAAGAGGTATATTGTTTCTGGATATAAGGGTTTATTTGATTATTTTGGTGAACGGTTGCATCCTCCACAAATCTGCCTAATGTACACTCTGGGTGGCTCCCAACAGAATATTAAAAACACAATAAAACATCAAACATTAAAAACTTTCCTATATAGGGCTATCTTCAGATGTCTTCTAAAAGTCAGATAGTTGTATATTTCCTTGACATTTGGTGGGAGGGCGTTCCACAGGGCAGGAGCCACTTCCAAGAAGGCCCTGTAACTTTATTTTTCACAGTGAGGGAACCGCCAGAAGGCCCTCAGAGCAGGACCTCAGAGTCCAGGCTGAACGATGGGGGTGAAGATGCTCCTTCAGGTATTTCTGTGAATACTGTGTTTTCTTTCAACTTTCCTGAAGCTACTGTGAACCTGAAATTCCCCTTCTACAAACTACACTTCAGTCCTCATTCCTGAACCAGGATTGCACTATCTGGGAAGGAAACCAGGACAAAACAGACTAAAGGATCTTATCTTCATGACTGAGCACACAATGTGCATTTATGTGCAAAAAGCCTCCAGCTCAGTCCCTGGCATCTCTGGGTAGACTTGAAAAATACTCCTATCTGAACCTCTGGAGGACAACTTTCAGCCAGTGAAGGCAAGACTGAGTTCAGCAGACGATAGCCAGTTGTTCAGCTTCACATGTTCCTAAAAGAAGAAGATGCCAGTTTAAAGCTTGTGTCAAAAAAGAAGCAAGACTGTTAGAATGATCTGATCTGAATGGCTTACAGTCCTCTGACTGATATCTGCAGCCACATCCACACTATACCTTTAAAGAACTATGACCCCACTTTAACAGTCGTGGCTTCCCCCAAATAATCCTGGGAACTGTACTTTGTTAAGGGTGCTAAGAATCTTACAAAACACCTGTCAGAATTCAAACTAAGAGTGTGGGTTCAGGACTGTTACTAGCACTATTATTATTATTATTATTAGTGGAACTGTGCCATAATTTCACACTGTTTTAAGTATCAAATAGTTATGTACTAGGGCAGGGGTCAGCAGTCGAATGCCCATGGGCCAGAAGCGGCTTGCGGAGGTCGTTTGACTGGCCCACAAGCCACCCCCGAACCGAGCTGCCCACTTGCGCACTACTCTAAACTGGCACAGTGCAGCACAGGGACACGCTTCCGCAGTGCAGAAAATCACATCTGAGCATGCTCAGATGCTGAAAATTGTGTCTGCACAGACGCAGGTGCCAAAAATCTCAGGTGGGCTTATGATCCGGCCCACAGAGGGATCTTTGCAGGACCAATCCAGCCCAAGCAAGATAAACCTTGCTGACCCCTGTACTAGGGCATTCTGAAATCAGCTGGACTTCAGGAATCTCTGTGTTATTTTAAATTTACTTTTGCACTGTAGGCAAGCTCTGCATTTGTACTTCAGGTTATTATCTCAAACGTATGAATGACTTGCAGATTTCATTGGACAGATTCCCTTGGCTTAATGCCTAGGCCGAAGCTTTCTGTTTTGAAGTAACGAGACAAATTTCCCAAAGTTCTTCTGTTAAATTACATCTCCTCTAAATAGATTTGCTTCTGAATGCCAAGACATCACTGCATTTCAGCTACTAACATCAGTTATTTCTTTCTTTCTTGCGGATTAATCAAATAGGAGGGAACAATGTGTGAGCTCTCTAGAGATACAAATGGCTGGATGAGAATTTTCAATAGCACCTTGACCCCTTTATTCATAGCGATGCTTTGAAAGTGTAGGAACGCTAATGTGTAGATGGTGTTCCCATGATTTCAAGTTATCTCCATCCCACTCTTATTTTCTAGCTAAAGGCCTGCTATATTTGGCAGGGGCATGAGAAAACAGGGTGGAGACATACTGAGGAATGTGCTTTATATGATGTCATACTCTTTGTCTGGAAAAAGGAGAGGAGGAAACTCCAGTTACTTGAAGAAAGATTTATTTCAAGCCTGATGGACTTCATATCCATTTTGGACCACTGTTACCTAGTCTGACTGTTTATCCCTGCTTAGGAGACATTGATGACAACTGGCTTTCAGTAGGCATAACTGGATGATGGATTGATGTTTGAAGCCTAAAAGGATGTTATAAAGAAATTATTTCTGAAACATCAAGGACGGAAATGACCCAAATCCCAGCAAGATTAAAATTCCAACCCTTGTCCTTCCTCATTCTAGATTAACCTGTAGAGAACAAATGAGAGGTTTATTACGTGATATGTTCCTATGTAAGTATTAATGATTAAATCTGTGGATGAGATGAAAAAATATTTATAGAGAGAGAGATTTGTTTAAGTTGGTTACCATTTTGTTATACAGTGGTACCTCGGGTTAACTACTTAATTCGTTCCAGAGGTCCGTTCTTAACCTGAAACTGTTCTTAACCTGAAGCACCACTTTAGGTAATGGGGCCTCCTGCTGCCGCCGGAGCACAATTTCTGGTCTCACCCTGAAGCAAAGTTCTTAACCCGAGGTAATATTTCTGGGTTAGCAGAGTCTGTAACCTGAAGTGTATGTAACCTGAAGCGTATGTAATCCAAGTACCACTGTATTTGACATTTATAGGACTGTTGGAACTCTACTGGAAAGGGTGAGATCTGCCCTGAAATAAATTCATGAGTACAGAATAGAATTTACACAACTCTCTGCTTAAAATCATTGATTTATTTATGTTTTTTTGACTTTTTTTAAAAAAATCTTTCATGACTTCCCACACAGTCAATGCTTTTTTAAATATAAATTTTAATTAAAGTTTTCAAATATACATTTCCACCATTAAATATAGATCATTGTAATAATACATTCCTCGACTTCCCTTCTTCCCCTTCCATGGTTCCTTTTCTTTTCACATAATATCTGCATACTCTGATAAAACCATTTAATTTAATTTCGCCCCAATCGTATTTCTTTATTGTACATTATATGGTTGAATTTACCTTAATCCTGTTTTCACTTGTTCACTGTTATTTTCCAAATATTTCACACACAAAAATCTACTCTTCTTTATATACTTGCTCTCTCATTCCATTGGTCAGGCCTGCTAACCCTTCATATTCTTTAATTTAAATTGTGATTCCTCCTTATAGGGACCTCTGTGACCCTCCATTTTGGGGCTAACAAAGTCCGAGCTGCTGTAGTTGCATACATTTTTAAAAAAACTAAAACCCATATGGGCGATGTTGGCAGATGGAAAGTCTTCAAAACGGTGCTTAAAGACATCAATACAATACAAATCTTTATTGCGGTCATAGACCAGCATTTAAAATCTAAAAAGCCCGTTAGAAAGCTAAAAGGTATTAAAACACCAGGTGAATATAAAAGTCTATAAGAATTTAAAAGAAGCTAAAAGAATAAGGGCCAGGAACATCGGGAGGGTGTGGAAGAGCACAAAAGTTGATCGATAAAGGCTTCAACTATCATTTACAGAGCACTCTGATATGTTCATTAAAACGGATTTGTGGCACAGGTCATCAAATATCACGGAATATCAGCTGCTGTCTCCAGAAGTGGCCTGTCCCGTTTTTCTCCTTGAGGCAAAACAGGAAGGTGTAGTGCTGAACGCTTTGTGCCACCCACCTGTGCTTGCCTGCCCTTGCCTCCACCTCAGCCTAGCTTATTGGGGTCCTGTGGCTGTGGGTTCTGGTGAGGTCCTGTGAGAGCTGTCTCACCAGTATCTTGGGAAGGTTGTGTGCACTATCTAGCAGGCCTCTTGCAAGATCTCGTGGGGCCCTTGTGAGATTTTGCTGCAGCCACATCTCCTCCTTTCTCCAGCCCATGAAAGTGCCCCTTGGATTCTGCCGCCTGAGGCAGCTGCCTCTGTCTAATTCATGGCCGGCCGGGCGCTGGCTGTGCCACTAAATAATTCTCCTACGTGATGTGAAATTTCTGACACTCTTTTTCCTGGAATGATCGACACCTTAGCTTGTGTTTCCTGGGTTGTTTGAATATGGTGACTCAGTGACTTTATCAGAAACTTTAAGGAGATAGACAAACTGTAGACCTAGGTTTTAAATCATCTTTGGCTTTACTTTTATTTTTTTCCAGAGAACAAATTCCCTCCCGAAACAAAGAACAGTCTGCTCTCGTACCTAGTAAATAAGCATAGCATGACAGCTCTAGTTTAAGCTTTGTCAGAATGCAGCTAGGAGAAAGAAGGTGGTTGAGTGCTAAATCAATACTGCTTTTGCCTAGCCAGTAATCATAAGACAGAGTGAAACATTAGATATCCTTTTCAGGGCCAGGCAGAATGAATGCTGCACACGATCTACTCTTGAGTCAGCACTTAAGGCACATACAGAATGATGACATAAGGTTCAAAAAAAATTGACATCCCCCGACCCAAATTAATTTTGCTACGTCTTGGTTTATTAAAATTGTTAGGATTAGAATTCAGTCAGGTAGAAATTAGGTCAGTGTACAAATGAAAGGAGAAGTGGGAGCTGTGCCCAAGTCTGGATGGGCAAATCTGTCCATTTTTTTTCTTTTAGTTTCTCATTTTCCCCCAATCTTAATTTTGGATCTCTGGATCTCCACATCAGTTTACTTTTTTTTTTAAAAAAAGTGCTCTTAAAAATTCACCAGCGTCTTAGCGAGAATTTCTGTCAACAAGCCTGTTTACATGCAATTTTGCCTAACATACACATTTTTGCATAGCATTTCCCCCCAATACAATGCATTTCTGTATGTTATTTTCACTAATATATACATTTTATGCACTTTCCCCTTGTATATGTATTTTGGTACACAATACTTGGCTGGAAAACTGCGACGGGAAATTCAGTGAAGTGCAAAATTCAAAGGATGGCTGTGTTTTGGTTTGCCTGTTGTTTCGGAAAACATGGAACAGGTAAGTTAGTGTTTAAATATGAACTAATTTGAATTTTGCCTCCATCCCTATGCCTGAGTAGCATTATTATCAAAAACGTTTTCACAAACCTTTTATTAAATTCAGGCCATCCACCAAAGTTCTCCAATGGCTGACAGGCAATACTGTATTTCCTGATTGCTTTATGTAAGTCCTTTTGGCAACGCATTCACATTTCTAATGTTATTAAGGACCACAAAGGGCAGCATCTTGTTGTGTGTTTCCAGGAGCCGCTCTGCTTTCAGCCAGAACTCAGGATACATATTTTGAGATAACAGGCAGAACACACCAATGTGAGAAATAAAAGGTTTGGAGCACAATACATAGTGGGTTTTTTGTTTGGTTTTTTTTTTTTTTTACTTTATCTAGCATACGGTGCAGAAAACAGCAGTGAAATAAAACTCATCCCAATTGTGTCTGGGAACACCTTTTCATGTCTTCCCAGTAGTTTCAGTGTGTTAAAGCAATGTTATAGCAACATCATTTCCTTTAACAATTTCCCCCAAATATATTTCCAAAAGGCAGCTTTCAGAAATGAAAAACGGATAGTCGAAAGCTGGGCAAAAGGAAGGAAAGCATGAATTGTTTTGTGTTTTTTCCCCAGCAGTCAATACATGTTTTACTAGGAAGGCTGAGTCAAAAGTTCTCAGAAGCCATTTCTGTCAGAAAATGCCTTAAGGTTTTCATTTTTCTCACCCCTGCCCTCCCCAGCAAAAGAGGCTATTTTACAGCGTTTTATCTGAATATTCTACCTTATCCGTGTGTGGTGGCAGTGGCAGCCTTTATTACCCTGGAATCTGGGACATTGTTGAAAATGCAAAATAGTGGTCAGATTGGATTCATTCATTTGTATCTAGCCATTGGACCATCACGAAACAAACGTTTCTCAAGGTAACCTTAATAACAGTTCTCTCAGACCCAAATAAAATAACATAGGATACTTTAAAAAGTCGCAGTCCGATTTCCCCTGACAAATCACAACATGTCCTTTTCAAGAGTTTTGCTCCCCTTTTAACAAATGTTAACATGAAATTAATTTACATGAACCTGAATGAAATTATATAAAATCTAAATGGATGAGAACACGAAACAGACCCGAATCTCCCTGACAAGTCATAGTATTCTCTCTGCAGAAATGCCCCGTCTTAACAGTTACTGTAGATGCAAAATGTGTCATTGTGCTTTTATCTTGTCTACACAGTTTATAGAGCACAGCCCCATTGCCAGATGACTCACTAAAAATTGTCAGGGTGCCAACCAGTAGCTACTGCCGCATGGTGGGGCAGCAACACTTATTTGATCTCTGGTAGGTTACATCGCTGCTCTGCTTACCAGATCATTGAAGTCTCATCTCCCTCCATTCTGTATACGCCATTTATAGAAGACACTTTTACCGAAAACTATAAACACACTGCTGACTCATCTAGGTATTGATACAGTTCAAGAATGCTGAGAACATCTTCCATTCAAACTCCATTTTTGGATTAAGTCTGCACTTAATCCTTATATTAAACCATATATTAAATGTAAGCACAAGCAAACACATATCAGACACATTTACTGTTATGCCCTTTAAATGTTACCATACTTTCATAATTTCCTTTTAAATAGGTGTAGCTTTGAAGCTTCGATTTTGTTTTTAAGGAAAGAGAAACTCCCCCCCCTCGAATTACTTACTCGCCTATAAAATCAAACAGTAATCAGCATCCTTTGAAATCTGTTTCAACCATTAAATTGTGGTATTTATATGAAGCTATAGGGAATCCCACCTTAATCCCATGGAAATTTTGGTTTAGCAGGCTAGCTTGCTTTTCCTCCTGTGTACCTGAGAAGATGTGTTAAGAGAAATTTTAGTATCTGTAAAACACACATGCATTGAATTCTCATTACCTGCAGCATTCTCACGGTCAATTTTAATGACTCTAATTATTTTGCAGCTTGTTGTACTTATAAGTTATATCCTTGTAATGCTGGCTTCAATCCAGGAGCATGGCCATGCATGCATATATACTATATATATATATATATATATATATATATATATATATATATATGGAAGCTGAAAATACTCTGCATGTTGCACTCCAAGGGGAAAAAATGATGGCAGCTTCTCTCTTAGTTTCGCCATCTTTTCCACTTCTCTGCCACATTGATTAGCAGGTTCATGGCCTAACGTTGAAGCTCATGGGAGATTTGTTAGAGTACCTTCAGTCAGTCAGTGGCACATTAAAAGCCGAAAGACATTATTGGCTCCTAACAGATTCTTCTGCTTGGCAGTAAGGGATCAACTTGAATCCAGTGATAGAAGCCTTAATGGGGGCTTAAAGCTTTCTTTGAGGGGCTTGCAATGTGAGAAAAAGCAATTGCTTTCACACCGAAGATAAAGCAAAGCATTTTGCTATCATTGGTTCCACATTGTGGAGGGTGTGCCATCGAAGAATCTTAGTTGGCATTACCATTAAGAGCAGAGAACAAAATGCACTTTCTTTCCAGAGGACTTTGATGTTGTAAATGACTCGTTGTAGCTAACAAAAGAGTCATTGATCTCACTCATGAAATATCTTGGGGCCCTGACTGCATATCTTTACAAATCTTATTTTAGTCATTCTTGTAATTAATAAAACGGGAGGGGGGGGAGTGATCAACCTACACACATCAAGAGAAAATCTCGTTTATTCCTTCATTTATTCTAGAAGCTTTGGCTGGATTGGGCAATTTGGGGACTTAGATACCATCATTGTGCAAAGTTGTAACAAATGATCTTCCATTTACATCACATGGGCTAGCTTTGGTTTGCTAAGGAAAAACTGGTACCCAAATACTATAAATCACTTTCTTTTCTTCTTCTTCTTGCCAGTCAAATTTCCACATCTGCAAACTTTCAAAATCTTAATTTGCACACTGTAAATATAGCTCAGTGACCAATGTAAGAATATTGATTAATTTAACGAAAATTATATACCGCTTGATTGTAAACAGATATTAAATTTTACTTCAAAAAATTAAAATTGTAATAAAAGAGGCGGGTATTTAAACATTCAAAATAGATTTAAAATCAAGAGTTAAGCTAAAATCATGTCAACTCTTACTTGTCTTGATGGACTTGCCTGAACAAAAAGGTTTTTAGCAGGTGCCAGAAACAGTACAGTGGAAGCAAGCGTCAGCACAGTGTCCATAGACGCAGGTGGCGCTGTGGTCTAAGCCACTGAGCCTCTTAGGCTTGCCAATCAGAAGGTCAGCAGTTCAAATCCCTGCAATGGGGTGAGCTCCTGTTGCTCTGTCCCAGCTCCTGCCAACCTAGCAGTTCGAAAGCACACCAGTGCAAGTAGATAAATAGGTACTGCTGTGGCAGGAAGGTAAACAGCATTTCCATGTGCTCTGGTTTCCATCACGGTGTCCCGTTGTGCCAGAAGTGGTTTAGTCATGCTGGGCGCATGACCTGGAACGCTGTCTGTGGACAAATGCCAGATCTGTAGATAAATGGGAGCTCCCTCGGCCTGAAAGCGAGATGAGCGCTGCAACCCCATAGTCGCCTTTGACTGGACTTAACTACCCATGGGTCCTTTTCCTTTACCTTTACCATAGGCAGCGAGTTCCGGTGTGTCTGTGTGTGTGTGTGTGTGTGTGTGCTGCCATGTCAAAATATCAATTTCCTACAAGTGCTGCATGGCCATTGTGTAGCACCTGCAACAATGCCAGTTCTGCAGACTGCAGTGGTAATGCGAAGCTGATGTTCTACTGCTGAGTTAATGGCCCTTCTGACCTGGGAGACCAGCGCTGAAATCCCCATTCAGCCAGGAAGCTCAGACCTTTTCTTTCAGCTTAACATGCCCAAAGGGTTGCTGTGAGGAGTAAGATGAGGAGGAAGGATGAAAAATGCAAGCAGCCTTGAAATGCCTGGAGGAAAAACTGATCTGCTAGTGTCATGGGAGCAATGGATACAACCTTTGGAATTAAAAGCAGTAGAGTAGGGGTCAGCAAACTTTTTCAGCAGGGGGCCGGTTCACTGTCTCTCAAAACTTGTAGGGGGCTGGACTATATTTTGAAGGGAAAAAATGCACGAATTCCTATGCCCCACAAATAACCCAGAGATGCATTTTAAATAAAAGGACACATTTAAATAAAAGGACACATTATATTCATCTAAAAACCGTCCATGGGCTGGATTTAGAAGGTGATTGGGATGGATCCGGCCCCCGGGCCTTACTTTGTCTACCCATGCAGTAGACTTGTGACTCCTGATCATGGTTTTTGCAAACTTTACCACCATGAGCTCAAGCAGGAGGAGTTGCCAGGACCATACAGCACCAGTCCTAAATTATCTACATTGGCTCCCAGTATGTTTCCAAGCACAATTCAAAGTGTTGGTGCTGACCCTTAAAGCCCTAAATTGTCTCAGCCCCGTATATCTGGAGGAGTGTCGCCACCTTCATCTTTTAGCCCAGACACTGGGGTTATTATCATTATCGTTATTATACAGTGGTACCTTGGTTTTAGAACAGCTTAGTTTATAAACAGCTTGGAAATAGAATGATGCAAACCCAGAAGTAGGTGTTCTGGTTTATGAACTTTGCCTTGGAAGCGGAACATGTCCCACTTCCTGTTGCGTGTCTTCTGTTTGAGAAATTAAGTCCCCCGCTGCTAATCAGAGGCTTCCTGTTGAGTCTGTAGGCTGTTGAGTCCCAAGCACCCACGCAACACAGAGGTGATATTTGGAGCTTTTGTTTTTGCTATTTCTTTGCGTTTTTGTTTGTGTGGCTTTTTCGTTTTTTTTTACTTGTGACTTGTTATTTGGGACTGTCTTGTGACTGTGGCTTGTGACTTCATTTTTGTGACTTGTTTTTGTGACTGTGTGGAACCCAGTTCAGCTACTGGTTGATTGTGTGACTGCAGAAATGGATAAAAGCCCCCCATCCAAACAATGACTATCATCAATGCACATAAGAAAAAAAAATAATTTTAATTTTTATCATCTACAATACTGTCTTATTTATTTTATAGTACAGTACATTGATTACTGCTTTCATTTTGCGGATCAATGGTCTCGTTATATAGTAAAATTCATGTTAAATTGCTGTTTTGGGGTTGTTTATATAAGTCTGGAACCGATTAATCCATTTTGCATTACTTTCTATGGGAAAGCACACCTTGGTTTTAGAACCCTTTGGTTTTGGAACAGACTTCCAGAATGTATTAAGTTTGAGAACCAAGATACCACTGTATTTATATTTATCTGTACCCTGCCTTTTTTCCTGACAGGAACTCATGGTGATTTACAGATAAAAAGAAGAGCATACCTTCTAAAATATCTCTGATGAAAAAAGGAACATCCTACTCCGTACCCTCCACATTTTCCTGAGAAAATAGAGATGATGATAGGGACACCCCTTCCAACATTTCTCCAGTCAGATGTGCAGAGTATAAAACAACAACAACAACAACAACAACACTTCAGTGGCCTGCATAAGAATGTAACAAGATCCTTGAGCTGGATCTACACTGATCTTTTTAACATTATTAGAACAATATTAGAGATATGGTTCTAAAACCTCACAGGGCATACTGCTAAAAAAACCAGTTCCTTACCTTGTTTCCTCTGTAACAACACAGTTTCCCTTCCACCGAGGTCCAGCGCTGAGGGCCTTCTGGCGGTTCCCTCACTGCGAGAAGCGAAGTTGCAGGGAACCTGGCAGAGGGCCTTCTCGGTAGTGGCGCCCGCCCTGTGGAACACCCTCCCACCAGATGTCAAGGGAACAAACTATCTGACGTTTAGAAGAAGGCAGCCCTGTTTAGTGAAGTTTTTAATGACTGATGTTTTAATGTACTTTTAATCTTTTGTTGGAAGCCGCCCAGGTGCCTATGGAAGCCCACACAGGCAGGACCTGAGCACAACAGCACTATTTCCACTTGTGATTCCAACTCACTGCCTCCGAACTGACAGAAAAACTCCCACATACATTACAGTAAACACTATAAAGAAAATAGGAAACTGTTGCCCCTGTAATTGTTTTCCTTTTTTTCTTTTCAACGTCTTGTGTCTTCTGACATATCAGGCATATGTTGAAATGAATACAACAACCAGGAGCAAATCTGAAAGAATGGGCTTTCTGCTTCAACATGAAAATTGACAGAATAATTAAAATGCAATTAATTGGAGATTCAGCAATGGAAGCTGATCTGAATTTCAATGCAATGTGGTTGTTCCTTTCCACGTCGGTGCTGGAAAGTAATACGTACCTAAGAAGTTTGACTGCGGCAGCCCTGATTGATCTTCACTTAAATAGGAATCCTTTCGTTCAGTAGAGAGACAGTGGTGAGATGCCTCAAAGCTGTGGGGAATAGGCAGTAAACCATAAGACGTGCCTTTCAAATTGCTGGCCTGGACTATGGAGAAAAATAATGGCCAATATGACCTGCATTTTCCTTGGTGGAACAGAATGCAGCTGTTGATGAGACAGGATAGCTGTTCCTTGCATTTTTAGTAGTGTTTCTGGACTGGTTGGCTTTTTGGTCTCTTACAGCTTCAGGGATCATCACATATGTTCCTAGAGAAATGAGAAAAGCATCTGAGAAGCACAGAGGATGCATGCAATATTTGTGAGGGAAAATGTGCACAACCTGTCTGTACGCAGCAGAAAACATTCCCTTCCCATGATTTCCTTCAAAGATGAATTGACTGTTAAACATCTTTGAGAATTGCAGCTCTATGAGGGGAACAGAGTGTTTCCACCCAAGGACACCCTTAAAAAGCTACAGCTCCCAAAATTCTTTGGGGGAAGCCATGTCTGTTCGAAGTGGTATCATAGTGCTTTAAATCTGTAGTGTGAATGTGGCCTCAGTCAAGTTCATTGATTTCAGCCGGTGTACTCTGAGTAGGACTCAGTTGAATGCCACCCAGTATGAAGAAACTGACTGGTAGGTAAACAAAGGTAAAGGACCCCTGGACGGTTAAGTCCAGTCCAAGGCGACTCTTTCAGGACGAGGGAGCTGGCGTTCGTCCACAGACAGCTTTCTGGGTCATGTGACTAAACCGCTTCCCATGCAATGAAACACCATGACAGAAACCAGAACGCACAGAAACACCATTTACCTTCCCGCCACAGCAGTACCTATTTATCTACTTGCACTGGTGTGCTTTCGAATTGCTAGGTTGGCAGGAGCTGGGACAGAGCAATGGGAGCTCACTCCATCGTGGGGATTCAAACCACTGACCTTCCACTCGGGAAGCCCAAGAGGCTCAGTGGTTTAGACCACAGCGCCTTTCACATACTGGCTAGTACCCCTCAATGTCTATGAAAAGGACACTCCAAAGACAGTCTTTTACAGGCCCTAGCTTTAAAATGTTTCTGAAGAAGTATTCAGAAAGTGCCCTCTCCGAGTTCTTTATTATATCAGCTTCCCATTGCCAGTTGTCAAGGGACAACACACCTTTGAACTTTTCTAATATCGCAGCTCCCCACTGCTATTTTCCCAGGGTCTGCAGCATTTGTGTTTGATGTTCTGTCTTGCAGACACAGCCGCCCACGTTTCCCACCTGTCTGAAAATTACTGTTCTCTGCAGGTCCCGAAACCTTTTGCTAAAAAATAAAAATAATAAAAATGTGGCTCTGACATTAACGAATGCTGTGATCACAGGATCATGGCAGGTTCGAAGATGAGAGGAAATCATTTGGGTGGCACAAGCCCCCTTTCGCTTAAACGTGTCTCTTCTTGATGAACAAAACGTGGCATGAAATCATATGGAAAAAGCATAATTATGCCCCGAGGCACAGGTGTCTTCAAAGAGGAAATGAGGCAAGCGGTTTGGCAGCACTAAAAATCTACATTGCTGTAAACTTTCCCATTGATTTTAAGTGGGAGGACGACTATAGTCTATTTGATTGCAGTTCTTAACATGCTAATTGTGAAATAGAAAGGAGAGCCTGTAAAAAGAAGGGCATTTCAGCTTGACGCCTTTGCTAAGTCTGAAGTATGTTAAGTAGTGTCACAAACAGGCATGATGTTCTGCAGGAGGCTATGTGCTGCATTACCATAAAGGTAATCTCAGGGGCAAATTAGATGTGATGTTAAGCACGTGCTTGGCCCTTGATTGCTTCGATTTTATCTACAACAGAGCAGGTCTATCTGGATTGGGACCTTGGTGTGGGTGGGTGTTGAGGGGGATTTAACCATGCCACAGTTCTAGAAACATAGGATTTTAAGATCTGGAAAGGAACTCAGAGATCAATAAATCCAGGAGTGAGTAACCTTTTGGCTCTCTAGATCAGGGTTTCCTAAGCTTGGTTCTCCAGCTGTTTTTGGACTACAACTCCCATCATCCCTAGCTAGCAGGACCAGAGGTCAGGGATGATGGGAATTGTAGTCCCAAAACAGCTCAAGACAAGTTTGGGAAACTCTGCTCTAGATGTTGCTGAATTACAACTCACATCAGCCATACCAAGCATGGCCAACAGAGTTGTAGCTGAGCAACATCTGGAAACCCAACGGTTCTCCGCACCCAATTTAGTTCAATGCAGGTTCTACAACAAGGATGGGGAAACTGCGGCTCTCCAGATGTTGTTGGACTTCAACTCCCATCAGCCCCAACCAGCATGGCCAATGGCTAGAGAGGAAGGGAGTTGCGGTCCAACATCATCTGGAGGACCACAGGTTCTCCATCCCTGATATTCAAGGAAAGAGGTAACTACAGCATCCCTGAAAGATGCTTATCCAAGCTCTGCTCCCATACCACCAGCAGAGCAGATCTTACCGCAATGCTATATTTTGCTGACATCTGCTCCTTTACAATTCCCACCCATTAGTTATAGTGCAGAACAAGTCTGCTCCATACTAGGCAGGACAGCCCTTCTTATAATTGAAGGAAGGGATCATGCCTCTTCTTAATCTTGTCTGCAGGTTAAACATGCCCAACACTTTCAACCATTTCCCATAGGGCATAGTAGCCAGACTCCTCACCCCTCTTCCCTTGACAAGCTCCAGTCTGTTGATGTCCTCCTTAACCTCTGGTGCCAACATTGGTACCCCAGATATATCCTGTCCAGTGGACTTGGTCTCACAATCTGGACACTATGCTTCTGAAAATGCAGCCCAAGAGCATTCACTTTTTTAAGCTCTCTTTTTAGACGTGCATCATTTTGCAACACAGCAATTCAGTTTTACTAGCAAACCGGAGGTTAAACTAACCCCTTTCCAGCCCCGGGAGGAGTGTGGGGAGCACTCGCATGACACACCTACATACTGCAGCTGACACGCTAATGTATCACGACACACACGACACGATCTGGATCCTTTCCACATCAATCTAGATCAGTCCTCCCTGTGGTCATTTTTTGCCACCTGCCCTTGGCACCGATAGCAGCTTTCACTGTGGAACAAATACCTTGATCCTGAGTGGAACCACAGCAGGGGCAATGCATGGTAAATCCTCTCCTCTCCCCTCACACCACGCTCCTAATTTTAACCACCCCTTTTCCACAGGTACTATTTAGTAAACGAAAACCAAGCATGCAAGGGCCACTCACCTGCTTAACATCACACTGCGTATGGTTCTTTTTCAACAAGGAAAAGAAGTGAAGGTTTGAAGGGAAATCTAAATCCACCCCTTGAAGCTTCATTGGAGAGATCTCTGAATGGCAATGTGCAATCATAAAGAGGGCAGGTGGGGACTATTAACACCTGGCTGAGACCTGGCCAGGCATACGATAATTCATAGTCGGCATCCAGATCAAACATCTCTAATCCTTGACTCGGCAAATATTTATTTAGCAGACTGAAAGGGATATTCACAGGTGTAAAATTATATTTCCTTCTACTACAGGGGTTTGCTAATGCATGGCGCACTAAAGCCACGATACATTAGGCATTTATAATTTGGATCTGCATGCCTGGAGGCTATCTTTCCCTGTCAACGCTGGGAACCATATGTGCAGGCTGCAACCCACCTCTTCCTGTTACGGAAATCTCCCCCTCCTTCCCAGAAATGCCACGACTTAAGCGACAATCCCATGCAGGTTTCCTTGATAGCAGTCCTGCGGATCCAGAATTGGCCTCCACAGTCACTTACAGACTCATTGTTAAAACCGTGTTTATGGAAGACAATCTTACTCAGCTATGAGTGATCGCCAAAGAAGAAGTATATGTAGGGGGTGTGTGTGTGTGTGTAAATATATATATATATGTGAGAGAGAGACCAGGAGCAACAAAACATTGCACGCAATGTAATGAAAATTAAATGGCAAACAAAATATTGTAGTTAGGATGGAATGCTTGCTAAATGTATAATTTCATGGGTCAGAGCTGTTCCTAAATTATTCTTTAGAGTAAATGACTTTGCCTTTTGCCTGTTAAGCAGACACGCAAGATCCATTAATCATGCACACAAGTTGTGGCAGGGTGTTGTTTTCCAGAAATGGGTAATTCATTGAGCTACACCATGCCGTAGACAAAACGACGACCCAGGAAAACTAACACCAAAAATGGATATAATGGAATCATGTATGCTTAATCAATAACAAATAAGATTCAAGTGTATACTAAGCGCTTCTACTCGTGTATGTCCCCTACCTGGATTGGACAGATGCCACATAAGGGAAACATGGTTTAACAGGAAAATATACATCTAGAAATACTGAAGATGTATAAAAGCTAGTGAACAGGAACAATTTGATTCACAAACTGCTCTACTACTGAATAATTTCTGGCTGTAGATGCTTAATGGATCACTAGGGCAGTTGGAAAACTGAATTATTGAAAATAAAAGTAAATAAATAAAATTATTGGAATCAGTGCTATCTTTTTCTAGAAAAAAGAGGTGCTAGAACTTACCACGAATGCCTCCATTGTTCTCTTATACAGTCATACCTCATGTTACGTTTGCTTCAGGTTGTGCATTTTCAGGTTGTGTCCCGCGGTGACCCGGAAGTACCAGAAAGGGTTAATTCCAGGTTTCACCACTCACGCATGCGCAGACGTGCAAAATGACATCACGCGCATGCGCAGAAGCGGCGAATCGCAACCCGCGTGTGAGCAGACGTGGGTTGCGTTCTTTTCAGGCTGCGAACGGGCCTCCGGAACAGATCCCGGTCACAACCAGAGGTACCACTGTAATGGCAATAGCACCCAAACTATCAGGTGTCGGAACTGAGTTCTTATGAAAAATAAAGCTCTGATTGGAATAAAAATAAATAAAAGTAATCCTATTATGGGGCAACAAGAGAAACAGGTTTTGAAGTTTGAAAGCACAGGAGGGGAAACTGTGGTCTCCCATATGATGTTGGACTGCAGCTGTCATCATTTTTTACTGCAGTGGTACCTCGGGTTAAGTACTTAATTCATTCCGGAGGTCCGTTCTTAACCTGAAACTGTTCTTAACCTGAAGCACCACTTTAGCTAATGGGGCCTCCAGCTGCCGCCGCACTGCCGGAGCACGATTTCTGTTCTCATCCTGAAGGTAGTATTTCTGGGTTAGCGGAGTCTGTAACCTGAAGCGTATGTAACCCGAGGTACCACTGTACTGGCTTGTTGCTGATCAGAGTCAGAGTACAGCAACATCTGGATGTCCACAGCTGGTTCCCCATCCCTTGCTTAAAGCAATTAAATAATTTTTTTCTTTCATTCAGTTTCTGAATGAAAGAAGTTGAATTCTACAACTGATTTTCACCCTTAACCAGGGCAGGGATCTATTATTTTAGAAACCAGCTAGTGTGCATTAAATGTTCTTCTATGTTACCAGCCATCCCACAGCTTATATCTTTCCTTCTACACTTGTCTAATACGCTTCTGTTTCTTCCCATAAAATGGGACTCGGCCAATTTCCCAACAGTGTCTGTAATAGTGCATTACCAGCCATCCTGACTATTTCCTTAGCAGAATATTGGATCTGTCACCACAACAAATTGCAGATCATCGACCTCAGTAGTAGATGCTTAGTGTTGTCTTTGGCTTAGAGGGTTGAGGCTTTGACCCAAAACAAAGGTAGAAAATTCAAGATAAACCCTGACATTTTGCGCACCTTATGCTTTACATTTCAGAACTAAAGAAAGGCAAAGGAAATGACACTGTAAATATACGTTGAAACTTTTCATGCCTCTTTAGTAGCGCTTGAGAGCTGGAAAGCAAAGAAGCTGTATCCTTCCAAAGGTCCAAACTAGATGCGATGGCAGGAGAACTGTGATATTTTCATAGAGAAAATTCAGCTTCATGGGAAAAGGAGGGTGGCATTTAAAATGGGATCAAACTGGTGACAGGGGGAACATGAACATTTCCCCACTTCATATCGTTTTCCCAAGCTACTTGCTTTCCTCCCCCCTCAGTCATTTTTAAGCATTGCATAAGTTGATCGGGACTGGAGATCAATCGCACAATGAATATGTGTTACCTAGGGTGGTTTTGTTGAATGCTCTGATTTTATTGATTTGTGTGTGAGCGTGCACTTTCCAAAATGAAATCCATGAATACGTATTTGAAACAAAGAGAAACATACAGGCCCAGCCTTTTAGAACTTTATTGGAAATGTTTTAGGTTGTTTTTTGTGGAGGCTCACAATATAAAACAACAAAAGAAAAGTAAAAGTATAATGGGTTGCATTCAACTAACATTTTATTCAAAATAGACCCGTTGAAATTAATGGTCATGACTAACTAATTGTGGGGGTCAAGTTTGGAGTAATGCGTGTTTTACTTCTCATGACCTGTAACCTTTCTTGATGTATGCAGAAGGATGTTTAGGAATGTTTGGGTGTTTTATGACTCTCTGTGAGCTGTGTTTGAGTTGCTATACAGTGGTACCTCAGGTTACATACGCTTCAGGTTACATACGCTTCAGGTTACAGACTCCGCTAACCCAGAAATAGTGCTTCAGGTTAAGAACAGAAATCGTGCTCTGATGGCGCAGCGGCAGCAGGAGGCCCCATTAGCTAAAGTGGTGCTTCAGGTTAAGAACAGTTTCAGGTTAAGAACGGACCTCCAGAACGAATTAAGTACTTAACCCGAGGTACCACTGTATAAGCTTTGGTCTGACTTTCCTCAGAGCAGACCTTCTTCTTAAATGGCAATTTGGTTAAAACAACCACGTTGAGTTGGGCTCCATCCTATTGCAATAGCATCTAATAAACTCGGCTCTTTAACTGGCTGCTGTACTTGATTCCTTGGTTCTGTGTTTTATTTAAAAGGTGGTCCCTCACCTGGGTATAGGTTGTATAGAAGTAGAATCTTAGCACATGGCTAGTCAGAGTAAGTGTGGAGTCCCATCTTAATGCTTGCACCAGATTATGTAGCTGCAGCACTAACAAAATATTCTGGGCAAGCTAAAGAGCCTGTGAGAATAAATGTTTGCTGGCATGGCAAGTCATATCGGTATTTTATTCCCCTTGTCTTAAGAGTCAGTGGTTTTGTTGCTGCCAATTTTAACCAGTACTTCAACTTTTAAAGTTGCTGTTGCTTTTCTTTTACTCTTGATTTTATTGTTGCATTTTCCTCATTTTTGTAGGCCACCCTGCGGATTTTTCTGTTGTAGGGTTGCACAGAAATTGACCCACAGGATAAACCTACTTAGAAGTAAAGTAAAGGTAAAGGGACCCCTGACCATTAGGTCCAGTCGTGGCTGACTCTGGGGTTGCAGCGCTCATCTCGCTTTATTGGCCGAGGGAGCCGGCGTACAGCTTCCGGGTCATGTGGCCAGCATGACTAAGCCGCTTCTGGTGAACCAGAGCAGCACACGGAAATGCTGTTTACCTTCCCGCTGGAGTGGTACCTATTTATCTACTTGCACTTTGACATGCTTTTGAACTGCTAGGTTGGCAGGAGCAGGGACCGAGCAATGGGAGCCCCCGTCACGGGGATTCGAACTGCCGACCTTCTGATCCGCCAGCCCTAGGCTCTGTGGTTTAACCCACAGTGCCACCAGCGTCCCTCTACTTAGAAGTAAACCCCCCTGATTCCCAAGGAGACACAGGTAAGTGGCCATAAGCTTGTACCCCAGATGAATAAAATCAATAGATACACCCTAATTACACTGAGGTGGTTTTAAATTTGTTCCTGCAGCCTGCTGTTTATTATTTATTGTAATGCTGGGTTTATTTTTTTGATATCTATTTTAAAGGGGCAGGTTGGCAAGTTTGAGACAAATTTGGCTTTGACGCAGATGTTGCTCAATAGGCCTTAAATTCAGCATATGCCCATGCAGCCCAGGGCAGGTGTGCTCCCGAGGGGGGCGTGGCGTGGAGGGTGCCCTCCCAGGCATGGGATAGCCGCTCAGGTGCCCCGTGCCCCTGCAGTTGGGGGCAGATATTCAGCACGCCACCCACCCATGACTCCCAAGCTGTCAAAACAAAGGGGGAAGGGGAGAATGCCACTGGCAAAGTGGCACAGCTCCCCCTTTACCCCTACAGCTCGGGGTAGGCTTGGGAGTTGCGGGCGGGCAGCGCGCCGAATGTCACCCCTCTCAGTGAGGGCACCAGAGGTGGTCCGCCCCCCCCCTCCTACGCCCCTGTTCCAACTGCAGTATTTAAGTGACTCTGCTAAAACACTGAAGCTCTGAAAGTGGTCACACATTTTCCTGCCAGCGTTCAGACTTAGCATGGGTGAATCTTTCATGTGTCTGAGACCTGACTCAAAGCCCATCACTCCTTTTTAAGAAACCAGCAAGCTGATTCATATTCAAGTTACCATATCCACATTGGCATATCAGTCAGAGTAAACTGGATTTTTCTTTTTGAAAGCCCCAGAGACCTTTCCCGCTAATACGGAAAAGAATAACTAAACCATCTTTCGTAAACTCTGGGGAAATTGTTATTTACAGTAAATGATCTAATCAGATACATTCTGTAGCCAAGCAATTTTCAGTGGCTTAAACGCTAGTTTAGATTCCCACCCTGCTAATTCTGCTTCAGTTTGTCCCTTAGAGGGAAAACAGCTTTGGGAATTTGATCTCAACCGCTTCCAACAGAAATCGGTCTGTATTTGGCAATGATCCAGGCTCCCTCAAGTGAAAGCTGGGCTCCAAATATAGCTCATAGGGAAATGTGATGGTTGCAAAATCCCATCAAATCCAGCCTGTTTCCAAATGGTTACATCCGGTGCTAATTGTGGGTCTTTGAGTTAGAAGCAAGTGCATCTGAGGAATGGTTTTTGAGTTCAGGCTGATGTCTGGGGTCTTTCGCCAAACCAATTACTATGATTTATTGATTTGAAAATGTGGATTCTCTGCAGTGTATGTAGAGTGTTCTTTTTTCAGTTCTGTTCAAGGAGTAAGAAGAAAGGCTAACTTTTCAAAGCCTGTCAGGTGCTAATAGCTGCTTGTCTTATTGATTCACCCCATCTAATAATGCACTGTTAGCCTCAGCTTTTGTGGCCACCCTTTCATCTATTTAATTTTTGTTTCTTTGTTTTAGCAAGGAAGTTTTCATGTTGAAAATGTCAGATGGAGTGCTGCAATTCAGTAGAATCTCACCTAACTGACCAGTTGTGGATTGTGAACTGTGGCTGTTTAGTGACCATTCAGTCCATTATCTCTGTAGCATATTTTCTGTGTATCATTAAATCCATCACTAATTTTATGCAGCAGGTTAGAAGCTATTGGTATTCTCCTGAGCTCACTTTTTCCGGGAGTGGGGGACAGTTATGCAGTTATGATATTATTATTATTATTATTATTATTATTTTATATTTGTATGCCGCCCATCTGACTGGGTTGCCCCAGCCACTTTGGGTAGCTTCCAGCATATACAAAAACATAATAAAACATTAAAATCTTCCCTATACAGGACTGTCTTCAGGTGTCTGCTAAAGGTTGTATAGTTGCTTATCTGATGGGAAGGTGTTTCACAGGGAGGGTGCCACTACCAAGAAGGCCTCTTTCCTAACTTTCTTTATAACTCCAGGAATAGGAAGTTCAGGAACTGTTAATACTGTACTGTTAAATGTGTTTGGGGGGTGGGAGTAGGATGTATGCTGAGACCCTTCTAATTCCTAGCTCCAGCAAGTGTTGAAATTTAAGCAAGTATTCAAATTCCTGGATTAGCCAAGCTAGCTTCTTGGTGAAGTGATTGCCTAGTTCATTAAGAGAACAAAGGAAGTGACTCAATGCCAGAGGACAAATGGGTGGAGCCCCATTAATAGAAAGACAAAGGCTAGTGTTTAGAGTAGAGTCATATTAGCTAGAACCTGGAAGCAGCAGGCTGGGAAGCCAGAAAGGGAGAGCGATGTTTGATTTCTGTCTCAATCCAAAGTTGTGGCTATGGGAGAAGCAAGACCCCTCTTGAGGTGTTAATGCTGTGTACCTCTCCATCATAGGCTCATCTTGTATATATATGTGTAAATAAACCATATGTTATAAAGATAGCACAGTTTCCACTGTGGCTCGTTCCAAGGGAAACACGAACCCTGGGGGGTGGGGTGGTTGCAGCTGGCAACAAAATATTAAAAACACAGTAAAGCATCAACAATTAAAAACTTCTGCCTTCATATGTCTTCTAAAAGTCAGCTAGTTGTTTATCTCCTTGGCATCTGGTGGGAGGATGTTCTACAGGGCAGGCGCCACTACTGAGAAGCCCCTCTGCCTGGTTCCCTGTAGCTTCACATCTCACCACGAGGTTCAGGGCAAGCGCCTGAAACCCTTGGAATCTCTCACCACTTGGAAATTGAGATGGCGTGCAACCAATCACACAACAGAAGCAAATCAAGAACTTTTGGGGCACTCCATTCAATAAGGTATGCAAACTGTATCATTTGCATTTAAGCCAAGATCAGTTTCGTCGAAACGCATTTAAGTCAACTCTTAAGTCTGCTGGTTACATTTTATGTCCGCTCAATAGAATTGCCAATATGGACAGCAGTAATTCTCACAATCGCAGAAATAGAACGTCGATCCCTTTCCCCACCCACTGCAGTTTAGAAGTCTCTGCTGATTACATCCACAATGGCCTTGTTTGCCCATTATGTTTGTCCACCTTCAGCACTGAAATAGCTTATACTCCACAGTTTGCATGAAAGGCACAATGATGCAAGCTCTCCACACCTATAATTTCAGCTGAAGGTGAGTCACGGATAAAAGTAAAACCACACTTTTTGTGTGGAGAGGAGGCAATTTATATATTCCAGTGTTGTGTGTTCCATATGTTCTTCACTACGCCCTGTAAATTTGACCCCTAAGAGGTGCTTCACACTTTTTTCTCTCGCAGCCCTTCTTTCCCTGCTGGGCAACCCTTTGGCAGGTGGTTGAATCTTCATTCTCCTGAAATCCCCAAGATAACCTCATGTTGTTATTAAGCTTTTTCCTAAGCTTGGTAGCGGGGGGGGGGGTGTAAGAATTTTGCATCATAGTTGTGAGAGGGAAAGCTGAGAACTTTTCTCCCCCTGCAATTCCCCTTGTACTGCTCAGCTAACTGGGGAACAGTTGAGAGTGGTGAAAAGGGGGTTGAACAGCAGGAAAAAGTTGATATTTATTGTGGAAAAGCCCCCTCCTTTCTTCTTGCTGCTTGACTGATAGTGGGAGGGTATGTTATGGTCCTGTAAGATTGGACACTGTGCCAGAAGGAGCTCAGGAATGGCAAAATTCAGAACATGAAATAAAAGGGGGAAAATAAGTTTCTTGGAGACGGTGCATACTGACTGTTGAATGTGCATATTACCCAGACAATGTACAAAATGCAGTCAAGATCATCCCTATGACCTATTGGACATTATGCATAATTATATAATATAATACAAAGTTCATAATCATAAATTATAAAATTACTTAAGTATATGAAAATTCATACATAATTATACAAAATTCAGTTGATAAATGCACATTCTCCAAGGCCTATTGGGATTATGTATATTGACCTGAAAATGTGCACAATTCCCTCTTCATGGAAGGATTATGTACACATGGTCCATGAGCGCTGGTGAATGTGCACAATAGCTGGTTGTTATGCATGTTAACCTTGCTTACCCCTTAACATATATACCCTAAGTTACCCACATTTGTGTGTTCAGGCAAACTCCTGGACAAATCTGCTGTTGGAACTTAAAAAAAAAAAAGTATGAATATACAAATCACCCTGAATTGCTTCAAAGATCCTTGTTAGTTAGGGGTGCTAACTTCAGCTCAGACCCACCCCCATAGCTATCTGAAAGTTGGCTTTCTATATATTTCTATTGTTTTCTGCTATCCTAACACAAGGAAAGAGTTAAATACAGAGACAGCAAGATAATAACTCATTATATTGGGTCACCTCTTTAAATCCCTAAATAGGTCTGAATTTGACTGCTGGATATAGTCAAAGGGAATTAGAGGGGGGGCAGAAAGAAGGTTGGAAATAAAAGTTACAGACCACCCACTTTCTAACTACACTCCCCCCCTTCACCTCCTCCGTTCCCCCAATAATAGAGAGTAAGTTTTAATGAGAAAGGCTTATGTTGATCCTTTAAATTATAGAAATATGTCCAGTATATAATATATTGTACATATGAAGAGAAAATTGCCTGTTGGTTGTGCATCATTATAGGATTAGATACCTACTTTCCAGTTTTTCAGAAATACATTTAACTTCACTTTCCCCTTGAAATTATAATTTTTTACATAAATACTGAATCCACTGGATAATTATTTTCTTTAATAAAAAAAAATCTATAATACCTGTTGCACCATGCAAATTATAGCTCATATTATTATTATTTTACCACTCAACGCTATTATATTTATCTTGAGAAGGCAGACAATGCAAACCCTTTTCTAATTTATTTACAGTCCTTATCTGGAAGCGGTAGGAATAGTATATCACTAATTTTCTGTCGTACAGCTGATACATTTTAAGTACTGAAGTGTCAGTCTAAGAGTGACATTCCTCTTAACTTTCAAAGAAATGACAAACGTCAAAATTCACTAGGAAGGGATCTTTCGCAGTCCCCGTTAAAATGAATAGGAGTTCTGCAAGAAAACTTTTCAGCAGGTTGGAGCCACCAGTTAGTGGTCCCCCAAACCATTTCAGCTCAGGGCCACATTTATAAATTTAAGCCACTGTCATTGTTATTTTATCTTTTTTTCTGAAATACTACCTTTTCATACCAAACTTAATCATTAGAATCCTATTAATTTCATGCTGGCTGTTGACAATTGGGTTCTGTATGGAACAGGAAGGGAATAGGGATTTTAGCTCTGAAAAAGTGGAACGAGGTAAAAACATTTAGCCAGAGATGGCTAATCTGTGGACCTCCACATGTTGTTGGAGAAAGTGGATAATATTCGTGTCTCATAATAGGCTGTCCAGTGAAGCTCACTGGTGGGAAATTCTTTACACATGATTAACTTGTGGTATTTACTACCACACTATTTTAGTGATGCCAGCACCTTAAATGGCTTTAAAATAGTTGAAAAATTCATGGTGGATGTCAGGCGTGGGGAGTCCTCTTCCCCTCTGGTAGCATCAAAGGGCAAAACTAACAAGCAGTTCATATTTTATAGTCCCTTTTATTCAGTCATCTGGTTTCCAGACAAGAATCCATGTCTCCACACAAAGAGAGATGTTGGCTACTCTGAGCCCCACCTCCTCCATTCCCAACAACATCCTGTGCGCCAACAGGAAGTCCCAGGAGTCCCACCCCTCTGCTTCCTCTGTTCTAGAATGCAGAGGGACTGACAAGCCCATGGAGATGGAAGAGGTCTCTGCCAACTGTGCTCTCAACTCCCCTTCCTCGTTTACTATTTTGTAACTAGGCAATTCTCCATCGAACAGTATAGCATCTCCCCCCCAAAACTGCTGTAGACAAGGGGGGGTGAATCCTTCCTCTCCTCCTTCTCTTCAGAGAGAAGCTGATCAGACTGAGTGCACACTTCCCAGTCTTCCTGCTCCAAACATTCCCTGACAGGGGAGAGGGCAGAAAATGGCTACTATTCATGGCAGCTGTATACCACCTCCAGGATCCAAGGAAGCATGCTGGAGAATTGGGAGATGTGGGGGGCTATTGGCCTATTGGGCATTTGGTTGGCTCAAGCAGGAATCATCGTGTGTTAAAATGTCTTCTTATATCATTCAGACAGTGGGAAAATGTGTCTACTTTGTAAATCTATTTTATCAAATCCATTTCCCCTGAAAAATTAAGGGAAATAATTAGCTACTAATGGACTTTGGTTAAATTGCCGTTATATTGTGGATTCAGACATGGGCAGATACTGTGAAATGCCCACAACATGCCTAATTCCAACAGCTGTCCAATTCTGCTAACATCTGCTCCATAGGAAGAAGCCGATCAGAACCTCTGATGCATTCGCCAGCTGTTTCTAATAGGCAAAGATATTTACTACCCAATAAATGACAATCATTCATGGCTTTCCATCATTGTACAAGAAGCTGCCTCAGCCTCATTGGGATCCGCTGAATATTCTGCTCATGAGGTGCTTTCTGGGGTGGGGTGGGGGGGAGGTTATTCACTACTGTCGATGACAGTCACTTTGAGAATATAAAAGCCAGCACAGCCTGTTGAAGTCACCCACACTAAGTGCAGTAATGAGGAGGACTAAAGGAAATCGCTGATCTATAAAATGAACATGAAATGGCAAGGTCTCGTAAAGAGTGCCACGCAGCTGGGAATTAGTATGACAATTTGTACCGAGGCCCTCAATGCCCTTTTATTCTTCTCCAGCAAGAAGGGGATATGAGTAAAGATGAACTGCAGTGCGATGATGAAGGTGGAAAATGAGAAAAGAAAAATAATTCCAAGATACAGGTTGCAACTGGGACTTATTTATTTATTTATTTATTTATTTATTTATTTATTACGATGCAATACAATAGCATAGTACAAAATGTGAACATCTGAATTCAGATCTCAGACACAGAATTGAAATTTTCACCCCCTCTAGAAATCTTAAAAAGAAACTGAACGAATTTGCTAATGATAGAGAATTTTAACTGGGCAGAGGATTTGGGACATAATATTCAGATGGCAGATTGGAAAAGGTTACGGAAATCAGATTTGAAATTTACAGCATGTTGTACATTGAAAGAAAATTATATGAAAATGATGGTATCTGACTTCTACTAAGTTAGCAAAAATGGTAAAGTGGTATTTGACTCCTACTAAGTTAGCAAAAATGTATAGGAAAAGATCAAATATCTGCTGGAAATGTGAAGAAAAAGAAGGTACCTTTTATCATATGTGGTGGACTTGTAAGGTAATAAAAGCTTTCTGGGAGATGGTATATAATGAAATGAAAAAAAATGCTTAAAATAACTTTTGTTAAGAAATCAGAAGCTTTTTTATTAGGAATTACAGGTACTGACATACCAAAGGAGCAGAAAAGACTCTTTATGTATGGAACAACAGCCGCCCAGATGTTATTAGGCCAGAGTTGGAAAGAAGACAAAGTCCCTACTGGAGAAGTACAGCAAACCGAGATGATGAACTATGCCAAAATGGCAAAGATGACTGGAAAACTCAGAAACCAAGAGGATTAAAACTTTATAAAAGAATGGGGGGGATTATAAATTACTTAGGAGACCACTGTAAGCAGATGGAAACAAGAGCACGATTCTGATTCACTTGTAGTGTGAAAATCACTATGGACAATATGGTTTGTTATAAAAATTGGAGTATGGATGAATATGCCATTGTAGATATTTAAAATGAGACCCCATGGAGGAGAAAGTCTCAAAATTTGGAGAATCTCTTTATGTAGATATGTTTTTACTAGTTTGTGTTTATTTGTACTTTGTATTTGTAAAACCAATAAAAATTATTTCATTAAAAAAGAGAGAATTCTATAGGGTTTGGTGAGCAGTGTTGTAACAAGTGACCTCTTTTTCTTATTTTCACATTTTTCCATGCCACCTGAAGCCAGTCATCGACAGGAGGCTTTGAATTAAATTGACATTATTTCCCCCTTTTAAATAAATAAATTAATTAAAATGCTTCTAAATACAGCCTCTGATACAGCCTTTGCAGACCTGGCACTCTCCAGGTGTTTTGGACTACATTTCCCAGCAATCCCAGCCAGGACAGCACAGCTGGCTAGGGGGGATGCAGTTCAAAGCATCTTAGAGGACACCAAGATGACAAAGGCTGTCTAATATGAGTTCTTTGTTTAAGATTAAATCTGGGTGGCTGTGTTCATCGCCTCCACTCTCAAGAAAAACCACTTTGGGTAGCACTGATTGCAAGCTTTGCCATAAATATAGTCAATCTCAAATATTCTTTTTTGTCTTTTCTGTTTAATGTTTCCTGTTAAACAGGAAAAAACCTAAAACAATTATTTTAAAATATGAACAGCAAATTAAAAGCAAACATAAATAGAACAGCAGTTGAATTGCAACCATATGCAAGTCTACATAGAAGAAAGTGCCATTGAATTCAATGGGGCTTACCTCATTGTGTAAGGTTGCTGCTTTTACAGTAGGACACTGCAGAATCCAGCAAGATCCAACCATCCATAAATCAGTAAAAGAGCATCAAAATGCACCATCCTCTAAAACATATAGTCATGCATCTTAAGGTATGGATTTGTTTATCCAAGACCCCACTCCAGGAAAATAAAATGCTGGAAGAGGTCCTGATCTTGGGGATGGGAGATTCATGTCCCCAAGTTCTTGTGTCCTCTGTGTTCAGTGAACAAGTTGAAGGCAAAACATAGATCACCTCTGTCAAATTTGTCCCCAAACCCCCTTCATCAAATTGGCAGCTTTCTTCCATACTGTTAGCTTTCCATAGCCACATATTAGTAAAACTGTTGGTGTTCTCTGTAGTGAAACCAAAGTCAAGTGATTGATATGAGGAACTTTGGTGTCGTTCTGCTGAAAGTAAACAGACTATCAGAAGGGAGAAAAATGCCAGACCAATAAAACTTTGTTGGTACAGTAAACATTATTTCTTCAACCAAATTGTATTATATGCTTGAGATTTTCTGCAGCTGAAATAATCTCATGACAGATACTTAGGCCTCAAAGTGTGTCTCTTAAAAACATGACCAGGAATTGACTCGGATACAAATATTTTGCCCAGCTAATACAATTTGTAACAAATTTAGGAACGTTTTTGGTCCAGCCTTACATTGGTATGTTCAGTTGACATCCACTGTGGAATTAGGTCTTGCCAAATGCAAGGTGGTTCTTTTAATGAGATTCAGAAGCAATACAAACACAAGCAAGTGAGAAGATTAAAGATTTTATTCTAAACAGCAAGCATAATATACATTAACAAGCAAGCACTTTAATCTGCCACTGAGAAGCCCTCAAGAAATGGTGAAGCCTCAGTTTTCACGGCCCTGTGATCGATCAGTCCATGCACAAGCTTCTCAGCACTCTGCCCCCAAACCATCTGATTTATAGATTATTGATAGCTAGCCTGTATGGCTACGTGCAGATCATTCATTAGTCACCCTCTTCCCAATGCTTCTACCTCAAAGAAGGTCAGAAGTTAAAGGCTGCTCTCATTCATCAAAGAACTTTAACAAGAGTTAGAGACAGGAAGTAAACAGAGGCAGGAAGAGATGACCATGCTAGATCAACTAACGCCTCGAAATTACAATGATCTTCCAGAAAAGATTGCCCATACAAATTGCAGCTACACATATTGACAGAAGCACCACTCTCTATATCAGGGATGTGAGACTAGTGGATTATAGGACTACACATCCTATAATACATGGGGATTGGCCGTGCTCTGGGTCTGATGGGAGTTGGAATCGACAACATCAGGCGGGGACAAAGGTTTCCCTTCTCTTCTCTATTTAATTTGTAGGAACAGCATGCTGGAAGGACATGTAAGACAATATATACGTCAATAAGTCTCACTCTAATGTTGTTATGGTGCTATAACATTGCTACAAACTCTTTGGAGGATGGGCGATGCACCCAATAAAATGAATTGAACATTGGCATGTTACTGTTGGTTTCTGTTTTCCTTCACTGTGCAGCTCTGCTTGTCACGAGACAGGTGTTTACATTCCACAGTCTGTACTGTTGGAGTTTCTCACGGGAAAGGGAGACTGGATGTGACGTACACTGGTTTCCTGTTTTTCACTGTGTGATTCTCTCCGAGCTGTCGAGGAGAGAGGATGCATTTTCTGCTCCGGCAGAGGCAAGATGTCTTTCTGTAATATACCAGCTTTGAACTGTAAATAAAGCAATATAGAGTATGCAGCACGTATTCCTCATCCTTCCGCTGGGCACGAGACTCTGCTTAAATCAACACGTGGTTATGGGCCCAGAAGTCGAATCGGAGTGCCGGCAAAGGATCGGAATGCAGAGGGACAGATCGGAACGGAATCTGCTCTGCGCGTAGAGGTGATTGATGAGGTATGTGCTACTGCTCCGGGCAGCCTGCCAGCTTCAAGTTAATGGCTTTATGGCTGGACTTTGAACTTTTAAAGCCGGTTTTGCCGGGAATAGGCAAAAGGCTCCCAGGCACAAGTCACTATGCTGGGGAAATCGAAAGTAACTTTTAAGTGTGCCTTTGTAATAAAGCAGCTGCAGCAGTGACGCAGCAAGATTTAAAGCAGCATATATGACGCTGAAGGCTAATGCCAGAGTCATGATGGCCCTTCAGGATGCTTGTGGGATTCCTAAGCTCAACAAGAAAAATTACAGCGACTGGGTTCAGTATGCAGAGGCAATTCTGCGGAAAGAGGGTTTGTTTGAGGTGATTACAGGAACCCCCAGTTCCAGTTACAGATGCATGGGAAGCTAAGGATTCCAAAGCAAGGGGAACTCTTACATTGATAGTATCCCCAGAAGAGCTCTGTCTATTGCGTGATAAGACCTCAGCCAGAGAAATTTGGGACGCTTTGAGAGAGGCTCACTTAAGGACAGAAGCTGGATCCACTATGTTTTACTTTAACAAGCTGCATAATATGGCTCTTGCTGAAGGTGGAGATGTGCGTTTACATCTGATGGAGATGCAAAATCTGAGACATGAGCTGCAACAGAGAGGACTCAACTTTCCAGAGGCTGTGTATTCTTTCATGATACTACAATCTTTGGGTTCAGGTTGGGAGTCTGTTGCAACCCAGATTGCTGTGCAACCAACTGCTCAGCTGACAGTGGACTTTGTTACTGCCGTGATTTTAAATGAAGCAGATCGCCGGGGTGCTAGCTGCATGGGCAAGGGGAGTCTTCACAGACGTCATCCCATAGTGCAGTGGAACCACCAGATGGCGCCAAAGCTTTGAAGGCAGTGAAATGCTACTCGTGTGGACGTCTAGGCCATATGAAGAGGGAATGCAGACATCCCAGGGCCAAGACAGAGCAGCGCAGCGAAAGCTCATCACGCGGAAAAGGCCGAGGCAAAGGCAAAGGTCCGGTGTCTAGGACAACGCAGCACAAGGCTATGGTTTCACGCTTCACTCCAAAGGTTGCAGAGGTCCAGAAGACGTCTAGATCTTTCTTCGTTGTTGATTCAGCGGCGACCCACCACATGTGCAATGATAAGAGACTGTTTGTGTCTTTTACACCGCAGGAAGGTGCGATTCACCAGGCGGATGACCACACTATTCCCAGTAAAGGCTACGGAACTGTTGTTCTTCACAGTTTGGACTTATCGATACAGAATGTGCTTTACGTGCCAGACGCCAAACATAATCTGCTCAGCGTTGGACAGCTGAATGAGCGGAACATTGACGTTTCCTTCAAGAACAAGAAGTGCATCATCACAAAGAAAAATGATTATGTATTGCATGCAGAATATGTTGATCATTTGTTTGTTTTGTATTATGATGATGTGGTGCAGGATGACACTTGTTGCATTGCAGGTTCTAACAAAAGTTTGCATGCAGAATGTATTCACGATTTTCATAGAAAATTTGGTCATTTGCATTTTGAGGCAGTATCTAAAATGCCTGCCTTGGTTGAAGGTATGACTATTAAACCCTGCAGGTACCACATGAAGTGCAAAGCATGCGCAGCAAACAAAGTGAAAATGGCTGCGAAAGGTAAGGTGTCTAGTAGGAAAGCTACAGAACCATACCAGGTTGTTCATGCTGATTTGGTTGGACCACTAGCGCCCTCTTTGGGTGGAAATAGATACTTCATGGTTCTCATTGATGCATTTTCTAGATATATTTTTGTGTACAATCTCAAGCAGAAATCGGAGGCTTTTCCTAGGTTCAAGGAATTCTGTGCTTGGTTGGAAAATGTGCATGGTAAGAAGATAAAGACTCTTTTCAGTGATCGCGGGGGAATTCACTTCTCAGCAGTTTGAAGCTTTTCTGACTGAGAAAGGAATTCAACACGATTTGTCTAGTCCTCGCTCGCCATGGCAGAATGGACTTGCGGAACGGGCAAATCAGACATTGCTTCAAGGGTTAAAAACCTTGCTGCATGATGCCAATCTTCCAGAGAGTTATTGGGCCGAATCTCTCTCGTGTTTTGTTTACAGTTACAATCGCAGGTTATCTTCAGCGATTGGTTGTACCTCTATGAGAAGATGTTTGGCAAGAAGCCATACATCAAACACATGAAGATTTTTGGTTCTGACATGTGGGTTCGCTCACCACAAAACTCCAAGTTAGACAAGCGTGGATTGCATGGTATCTTTCTAGGTTATCAGAAAGGGTCTTACAGAATAATGATGACTGACTCTAAGACAATTAAGCTCACGAGAAGTGTTGAGTACAATGCAAAGTGTGGGGAGAATGTGGGAATTTTCCAATGTTATCCTGATGACGGTGATGAGACTGAGGATAGTCAAAAGCAACCACAACAGCCCACACCCACTGATGAAGGTTCTGAGTCTGAATCTGAAACTGAATCGGGTGATTCAGAGGATTTCAAGAGTGCGAAAGCCTCTATGCGACCCTCTGAAAGCTCTGATCAAGAATTGGAGGAACCATTGTTCACAATAGGTCGTTTTTCTCCTAAGAAGGAAGAGGAGAGTGTTGAAGACTTAAGGCTAATTCGTAGGTCACAGAGAGCCACAAAAGGCAAACCTCCAAAGAGATTTGCTGATGAGTTTGCTAAGATAGCAGTAACAGCTGTTAAAAGCTCCAAGAAGGTATTTGAACCTTCAAGTTTCCAAGAAATCCAGGGTTTGGATTCAAAGGAAGCTAAGCCATGGTTAAATGCCATGAAGGCTGAGCTTGATTCCTTAGAAAGGAACAAAACATGGGAGCTAGTTCCAGTAGTTCCAGGAATGAAACTGCTTGGAAGCAAATGGGTCTTCAAAGCGAAGACAGATCAAAATGGCAAGATAGTCAGACACAAAGCCAGATTGGTAGCCAGAGGTTTTGCACAGGTACCAGGTGAAGACTATCACGAGACCTATTCACCCACAGTGAGATATGAAAGCATTAGGCTTATGCTCAAGCTAGCTGCAGAGGAAAATCTACACATTAGTCACCATGATATTAATACAGCTTTTCTGTACGGATCTCTAGATGAATCACTTTATATGCTTCCACCTGATGGCGTACAGGTAAAACAGGGATTTGTTTGTGCTCTGAAGAAATCCCTTTATGGTCTCAAACAAAGTGCACGGTGTTGGCACACAAAACTCACTGAAGTATTGTTTTCTCTAGGTTTTCAGCAAGGAAAGCTGATCCATGTGTATTTGTCAAAGAGGAGGGGCAAAAGAAACTGTACTGTTTGTTTTATGTTGATGATTTATTATTCTTTTGGAAAGATGTTGCAATGTACAATAACGCCCTAGCTCAACTGAAAGAGCACTTTGACATGAAAGATCTTGGTGAGGTAAACAACTACCTATCTCTGGAAATAGAGAGAGATCAAGATGGTAACATTCTAGTACACCAGTCACGGAAAATTGCTGATGTGTTAAGCAAACTAAATCTGATGGATGCTAACCCTGTAGACACACCGATGACAACAGGTTATCAGGTAGATGACACTGAAGAAGCATTTTCTGACACTACACTGTACAGGAGTGTGCTAGGCAAGCTAAACTTCATTGCCAGATGTTCAAGACCAGACATTGCTGTTAGCTGTAATTTGCTAAGCAGACAAGTCAACAATCCTAGTGTCAAGCATTGGAAAGCTCTGAAACGCATAGCGCGGTATTTGAAAGGCACTATGCATTACAGACTGAGATTTAACAATCAGAAGTCTGGTGGTCTTGAGATATTTGCAGATGCAAGTTTTGGAAGTGACACTACAGACAGGAAAAGTACGTCTGGAGTTTGCTACATGTACAATCAGAGTCTGTTTGATTGGTCATGCAAGAAGCAAACAACAGTTAGCTTAAGTACTTGTGAAGCCGAACTGAATGCACTGTCTTATTCACTTAAGGATTGTGAATGGTTAGTACAATTGTGCAAAGATATGAAAATTCCTGTCAAATGTCCAATCCAGGTTTACCAGGACAACAAAGCATGTTTGGCTTTGCTGAAGTCTGAAGGTTGTAAGCAAAGCACAAAGCACTTACAATTAAAGTTGCAGCATGCTAGGGAATGTATTCAGAAGGGACTCGTAACGGTGTCCTATATGCCAGGTAATGAAATTCCTGCTGATGTATTGTCCAAGATTGTATCAAGGGATCAACACTGTACCTATGTGCAGAAGTTGGGTTTGTACTGATATTGTGCAAACACGCTGCCCAGTGATGTTCACAGAAAGGGGGAGGATGTTGGTTTCTGCTTTCCTTCACTGTGCAGCTCTGCTTGTCACGAGACAGGTGTTTACATTCCACAGTCTGTACTGTTGGAGTTTCTCACGGGAAAGGGAGACTGGATGTGACGTACACTGGTTTCCTGTTTTTCACTGTGTGATTCTCTCCGAGCTGTCGAGGAGAGAGGATGCATTTTCTGCTCCGGCAGAGGCAAGATGTCTTTCTGTAATATACCAGCTTTGAACTGTAAATAAAGCAATATAGAGTATGCAGCACGTATTCCTCATCCTTCCGCTGGGCACGAGACTCTGCTTAAATCAACAGTTACCAGATAGCACCTAATCACCCCCAGAGAAGTAAATCAAGTATGTGTGCAGATTTGTTGCATCCTGCGGTGTAATGCATCCACCATGGCTCTCAGTTTTTGTTTAGATATTCAATATATTCCCCTTTCCTTAAAGGGTTGTTTCTTGCTAAAATATATGAAGCCGGAGAATTAAGACCTTTGGTAATGCTAGGCTGGTGGCTATTCAACATGCGAGCTTTAATCTCTTTTTAGTTTGCTGCTGATTTAAACTTCTCACAAGTTTTAAATTATGGTTGTCAGTTTTTCTTATTGGTAGGTGTGTTTTTTGTCTTTTTTTGTAAACTGCTTTGAGGGCTTTTCTTCTCTTAGAATAAAGCAGTGTATAAATGTTAGGAAATAATAAATCAATAACGTTTTAAAAGCACAAACCAAACTATTGCTTGTTGTCCAAAATGAATGTCACTGTGTATGTTTGTGTGTGTATGTATACATACACGATACCAGTACAGCAGTGTTAGAAATTAACCAGGAGTGTTTTGTGATTGGCACAGGTCCAATTTGCAACCACATGGCCATCTATGGATGCCAGTTTGGTGGCTGGGAAAAGCAAAACGCCCCCTAGAGGAATATCTGAAATATATTCCTTGAAGCTTGGATTTGTTTTATTCTGGCTTGCTTTATTTCATGTTTTAATGTGTTGTAAACTGCTTTGAGATTTGTTCCATAAAATATAAAGTGGTATAGACATGAAATTAATAATCATAATAATAAAACAACAACAACAACAGGCATATGCTAATAGTAGGGTATTAAAACCAAAAGCTGTAAAGACTCATCAAAAAATTACAGGTATGTATATTTTCTCCCGGCAACCTTGCAGGTTCAGTTAACGAAACATGTTTGCACAGAAATGGCTGTCAAATACCAGCTATTACAAACTTTCAACTTTGGATTCAGGCATGTTCTACCCTTATTAATCATAAGCTAACATTTCCAGCACTGAAAAGTAATGTAAACTTAACTTTCCGTGCATAGTTTCACTGACCTTTGCTTCCATTATGAGTCTGATTTGCACCAGTAAAGGATCACGGCCAGTGATGTATAACCATAAGACGCTCTCCTAAAAAAAGGTTAATGCTAACCTTTTACGCTACTGCATAGCATAACGGTACAGTGTTTGACTTCCAAGTCCTTCTTAAAAAGAAGCCTGTGCTCACGCCACACCAGCTTAAAGAATATTGTAAGTGGGAAGGAGAAAAATCACCCGATTTCTTGGGCCAACAAAAAGTCTTGGATGGCTAAATATGATTTTGGCACTTGAAAATTCAACTTGATTTTGAATTTGGGAAATTCCAACTTGTACTTGATGTTCAACAAATTGTTTTAAAAAATGAAATAATAGGTCCTTTGTGAACCCTTTCATAGTATACAACAGGGGTTGGCAACCTAGGGCCCATGGGCCACAAGCGGCCCGTGGGGATCGTTTAACCAGCCCACGAGCCACCCCCAAACCTAGCCGCCTGCTCGGTGAGTGTCCGCATGCTGTGCTAAACGAGCGCAGTGCGGTGTGGGGACTTGCTTCTGCAGCGCTGGAAATCACGTCTGTTTAGACGCCGGAAATCGTGGGGGCACGCACGATACGGCCCATGGAGGGATTTCCACTGGAGTGAACTGGCCCAGGCGAGGTAAACCTTGCTGACCCCTGGTATACAATTTCTGTTTTCCAAGGTCTCCCCCTGCTGGATCAAGATCTGCGATAACTACCCCAGTACCCATCATCACTGGGAGCTACCACCATTCAAGGCCCACCCAGCAAAGGTCACATATATATTGATTACAACAGCACAGTATTTTATTTCCGTCATTTTTTTCACAAACTCTTCTTTCTCATTTCTATGCATTTGTTGCACAGAAAGAACAACAGAGATTTCACACTTCCCACTCAGAGCCAACAGCCTACACTGGGTGGTGCTTCAGAGCCTATTAAGTAAACAGTCCCCCTCTATCTTTGCAGACATTTCAGTGTCATAGATAGACCCTGCCTGACACAGTATAGGCATTGCTAATTCTAAAGCAAATCCTTACAGCAGATGCCCTCTTCCTTTACAGCAGGGGGTGTTAAGTACATTAATTTACTTGACACAGAAATGAAAAATGGCTAAAGGTATATTGCAGAAGGTTTAACATGCGGTTTAACCATGTGGCAGTATTAAAGCCAAGGAGAGCACTTTGGTGGTTGTTCTCTGGTAGCTAACATGTGAGCTTTGTAACTTTAGATCATGGGATAAAGGCATTGAGTTGCAAATCTCCAATCTGAAGTGAGTTGCTTTTGTGTCTTTTCTCCCAAACTCAATGGAGTGAAGATGTAAACTAGGGATCTCCAAGCTTTCCTTGCCTTGGGCCGGTGTCTCAAGTGATGATCGCGTGGCGGGCCGGAGGGCAGGGGACTATTTCCTGTGCACATTCGGGTCGGAGGAGGCCCGTGCACATGCGCACAAGCTATTTTCAGTGCTCCTCTGATCTGGAAGTGGGTCCCCATGCCACGCCATGCCTGTAAGAGTGGGTGGCAGCGGGGGTCGCTGCGGGCCGGATAAACAAGTCCCTCGGGCCTTATCCGGCCCCCGGACCATAGGTTGGTGACCCCTGATGTAAACTAAGCTCTCCTGAAGGCTCAGTAAACAGCCTGGAGGCAGTGGAGAGAGAGAGAGAGAGAGAGACCTTTGCTTTTAGGTCTGTTTGAGTTATTTCATATTTTGTAAGATGCTGACCCTATGCTGGACAGCACAAGATATTGTATGGATATTTTGGATGCATCCTTTACTGTAGTCCATTTTATTTTAATAAAATGTTCTGCCAGTAAAACTGTGGCCCTTCAGATATGGCTAGATTGCAACTACCATCATCCTTCATCATTGGCCTTGGTGGCCAGGGCTGATGGGAGTCTGCATGCAACAATATCTGGAGGGCTGCTGGCTCCTCACCGCCTGCATTTCAGAAATAAATGTGATAGAACAAACTGTGGGCAGATGAACTAACTAGCTCACCTGAGTTTTACAGAGGGCTGAGGATGCTGGTTCCCTTAACAATGCAGCCAATGTTCCATGCCAGAAGTGATTACCTGAGAATGAGTGGCTGGGGACAAGCCTTACTCATCAGTATTCAGTGCCACTGACATAACTTGAAGGAGAATGAGAGGGAAAGAAACCTAACTAAAACACGAGAAGGAGAGGAGATAAAAGGCGACCAGTGAGGCAGAAAATAAGGACACTGCCAAATTGCTTAGGAACAAAACAAAAAAAATCACATACCTTAAAAGTTGTACGTTTGAGTGGTACGGCATGTCCTCCCTATTCAGCTTGTGCTTCTCTTTGAACTTATCGCCGCGACAATGAATCGCTAGAATCATGGACACAGAAGTGCATATACAGGGCCTACCGACAACAGGAGTCTGCACCGTTGCCATTGATGGAAAGAAGCCTCTTTCCAATTTCCATCCTGTTAAAGGGGAAAAAAGACTCCTGAATTAAAGCGATGGCTTCTGCTGTGCCTATTGCTTCTTCCCTATTGATGACAGGACAGCCACAGGTATTTAAGACTCTACCGCTTGCATTGAAGCCACAGATCAAAAGGAAAACGCAACTGATAAGAGAAAATTGGCAGTGGCTCAAGGTCACTACTCATGTTGCAGTGTTCAGTCAATGAAGGAGCAAGTGTATGTGCGACTTCTGCATTAAGCCACATCATGTTGGCTGAATCTCCAAGCCAGACTTTGCTCTTTGCTGTTTATTTTTGCTTTACCTTTCTTTCTTATCATACTGAAAATGTGGTGTAACAGTGTGATCTTTTACTGAAGTATATGGGTGTTGTTGTTTAACCGCTTTTCCTTATAACAAGAAACAAGGGATGCCTGAGAAATCAGATTCCTGAGGACAGACATAATTCATACTTGTGGTTCGAGGACCTGATCCCCGCGTAGTGGAATGAAAACACAAGGACACATGATATAAGGTTAATGGGCAAGAAAAGGCCACAACTTTATTGATTACAGCAAGTGAAAAGGTATTGGCTTAGGCATTGGATTACGTCAGCTGACTCCACCCACTCGGAGAGGGGTGAGTCTAAAACAGGGGGGTTTATTCACCAGTAGGTGGAGCCTGTTGATGATAATCCAACTATAAGCTCTCCCCTGATGCCACCGAGGGTCGTGCCATGGCCCCCCGCCACGCAGGCATCAGACAGAATACACGACCGCCGGATTCCTTTAACGGAATACCCAAAATTGAAGGCGCAGGGGATGGCCACACCTAGCCCTTCGACACACCACAACACATTATTCCAGTGCCTAACCTACCCACCAATACCACGAAAGTTGTGACGATTGCTACGAGGTAGGCGAAAAAACCACAAAGCCTAATGCCAAATGGAAAAATTCCTACCAGGCCCCCCGGACAACCAGGGCGACCAACCTAAGGTCCATAGCAAGGCCAAACAAAAACTGAGACCCTGAGCTCTAAGGGAGTGGAGGGTGGGTGACTCGCGACGGGACGACGAAAAGTGAGGCCGGAAAGCTGGTGCTGCAGCAATTTAGGCTGCTAAACACGCCCCCTCACAGGCACCTGGTTGGGTGCCTGCCCGTGGGCGTGGGCCCCAGCCAGGTGAGTGGGAGGCAGGGGGCTAACGCCCCCTGCTTGAGGCGGAATCCGGCTCCCGACCACAACCACTCCCCTCTCTTGCAAGAGGAGAGTCTTTCCTGGGCTACTGTGCAGGACATAGTTATCCTTTACTTTTATTGTAAAATAATTCTGCCTCACCCAAAGAGGCTCAAGGCAGCTACCAAAGAGTAATATATAGAGAATAAAAACAAATATAATTCTCTGAAACACACTCCAATTAATAAGTGAACAATATCCTTAACTAATAATATTGCCTTTGATTATCGATAAAGTAAGTGGAACAAATAATTAACTCTTCATGGCCTGACCTTGCAGGTTTGAATTTCATTTTCTGCTTCTTCAGTCAGGTTAATGAGGGACAGCATTGCTTGAAATACTTTTGACCATGTGTCACTTTACTGAGGAAACTAAAAAGAGAGTCAATACCATTGATAACCTTTGAAGTCCCTTCCCTCTGCTCAATTCTCAGTTATGTTCATTTTACTAATTTCACACTTCTCTGAATTTTATGGCATGGTTCCCAGCTCAAAAAATTGTACCAGAATGTATTAAAATGGGTATTTTTGGCATGATGCATTGAGAAACGCATGCATAGAAATAAAATACACATTTGAATGTGTATACTTTGTTTAGAATAGTATTTCATATAAATGTTCATGTGTGTGTGTGTTTTGTTTTGGTTTTTAAAGATCACAGATTAACATGGAAACAGGACAGAATGGATTTATGAATGAAAATCTTACAAGGACTGGAAAGAACCACAAGAAACAGTAACCTGAGAGCAATGAATTGATGGCTTAATCAGTTTTGAATTTTAATTTTAAGTACCCCATGGTCATTGGTATGCTGCCCTCAAGATTGCAGTCACATTCTTAGCCAATTTCAGCATTCACCCATTTCCAAACAGAGGAAGTTGTTCCTTGCAACCTTACTTTTTTGAAACGTAGGAAGAGTTATTCCTACAGGAATTCAGACATAGGTCAGATGGGGGGGGCCTATGCACGGCCCCTCCCCCCCATTTCATTATACATAAAGAACTATAGATAGCAAAGTTTTGGTATTTAAGGGTTTGCTTTATGGATATGTGTGTGTGTGTGCATGTGTTTTACAGCTCCTGTTTGTCAGTTGACTTCTTCTTGTTTTTCCCTTTGCTTTCCATTACTTGGAAGGCTTAATTGCATTGCCCTTTTAAAACTCTACCTTAAACTTTACGGAACGAGATGGTCATCACAGAGTCCACAAGAGGAAAGTACATCATTGAGTTTTATTGGAGTTTTATGATCACTCCTCCTTTGCCATCTTAATTTCTTCTCCTTAGCATTTTGTTTGCCTGCTCACATTGTTGTGGGTTGGGTTTTTTTGTTTTGTTTTTTTCAAATGCTACTTCACTTAAATCTAGCACATTGGTAATGTCAGATACAACTCAAACTCTTGTGAACTTTTTAAAAATGCAGGGAATATGTTTCTCTTATGGTGGAAATAAAAACTGCTTAACTGAGGGTGATCGACAATAAAACACTTTAAAATTATTAAACTGAATATAGCTTTCATTAATCCCCAGCAATGCATATTAATAGGTCTGTGAATCATAGCAGCAGATACACTGTAAACAGTGCCATTTTAGCATGAGGCACTTAGAATAAATCTTAACAGTGCAGGGGTAAAGTTTCTATTTTACGTTGCCTCCAGTCAAGTGTTTCTTCAGGATTGCTCTTGCTTAATGATTTTGAGTGATAGCAACATATGCCAAGAGGGATTCGGTTCAATATACTTTCCAGTTGTGCATTAACTCTGCACACTTATCTTGGGGGTGTGGGGCACTTACCACGTACACAAGACCGCAGCATCTGAAGTTGTCGAATGTGCGATCAGTTTCGCCAATTATTTTCGTTGCTTTTCCAAATTATTACAGATCGTTACCGAATTGATTCAATTTAATACAATTTTCCAAAACCGGTTTCCCACTCTCCTTACAAGATATGTCCAAGATAGACCCCGTCTCATTGCTGTGTGAGTTCTCAATAAGTCTCTAGTAATTACTAATAGTTACCAGTCACTCAGTAATTAGTTTTGATTCTGCTTGATTGTTGACAAGCTGAAGCTCCTACTACATGGTGAATGCCGAAGCGATACAACCAGGCTGGATCTACACTGACCTGTTTAACATTATTTCCCCCTATTAGATGGATATTAGTTATGTTGCTCTAAAATCTCACAGGGCACACTTGTTAATTGAAATGTTTTTTTACCTTGGGTTTTCCCATCAAATGTAGGTAATATCCAACCGCACCATTTTCCAAGATGCTGTTTCTTTCCCTGCTGGTGGTCGCTGGTTGCTCTGCTCTGCCTCTTGCATCACATGTTATTTCTCTCCCCCCCCCCCATATTCTTTGCTATCTGCCCCCTGAAATACTGCTGGAGGGGGGGTCAGAGTGTGCACACAGTAAAAAAAAAGGTAAAACACTACATAGGAATATAGGAACAGTCCATCACTGATATAGTAGCATAAAACAATTAAAAATTAAATGAAAAGAAAGACAAGGTAATACCGCATTATGAATGTAAAAAGTAGGGCATCATGTGTCCATCTACATTATCAAAACTGTTAAGTTGTGGGTGAACATATCAGACGACACAGCGATTCTTCAAACAGCTCTTGTTTATTCACAGGCCAGAACAGAACTGAACTGAAGGGTTCAGCCAGCCTGCTTATATAGAGGTCCACTAGAACGTAACAGTAACCATTTTCTGTAACTATCCAATCACTGAACGTCACTTTCAATCCCTTATTTGCATATGTGGACCTGAGTGAAAACTATCTACAGTATCCCCCTGCTGGCCCAGGGTGAGAACTTCAGTACATAACAAAAACCATTCCTTAACCCTTCCTTAACGTTAAAAACCATGAATGTAGATCCGCCCCAAGTGATGAAATTGTACATAGTCTAGAGCCCAATTTCATGGATAAGATTACCAAGGATGAAATCAAGCAGCTGATCTCAAATAATACACCTGACGGACTGTGGCGACAGCATTTGGTTAGGGTGGCAAAGGGAAAGAGTTAAAAGGGAGTGAATGGATCATTGACTATAATGGCATGTCACAATATCATCATAGAATCTCCACTAACGCCATTCATTAGTGGATAGGATAACAGACAGCAATAATATAGATACAATATAGATAAAAAGAACAAAGTCAGTATCCATGTTTTTCTTAAGACAATCACTCAAGTCTTTTGGGGGGGGGTAGGAATACAATACAAAAGAAACTTCACATGCTAGGCCAGAGTGTTTCATGTATAGCCAGATGTAGCACAAGAGAATGAGTAAGACCTGCGGGAGGGAAGGTAGATGAAATGAATTTATTTTTTGTGAGAGCAACAAGCTGTTATGTGATTACACCCCCTTCATTTTGTTAAAAGACAGCTCCACTCCTCGAGGTTAATCACAAAAGGGCATGCATCCATTTAGGACCTGTAGTCCACCAGCTTTTGTGATGCTGCACACAAAAAGCTTAGACATCATTTGTGCGCCTCAACGCTGTGGTAAGCATTATATTCTTCCAGCCTGTTGAAAAGCAGAGGGAAATCAAAGGCCATTGGCTTGACTTACAGCAGTGATATAAAGTGCAGCCCGACCCATTTGCCAGGAAGAAATTTGTGCAAGCTCAAAAAAAGTGTTTTTTAAGGCCTTTAACAATGGAATAGACTCACATTGTCAGGAAGTAATTTATTCTGCAAATGATTACAATAAAAATTGCTAATAAGGTGACCCCCTCCCCACCACTCAAACATGCAATAGAGCATGAATAGATGGAATTACAAGAAATACCATCTGAGAACCTGAGATACTAGCAATTTTAGAGACCTCGCAAGAATTTTAGGTCAAGACAAGAGAAAAGAAGAAGAAGAAGAAAATCATATGGGTTCTGAATTGGCCTCTGGCTTCCAATTATTATTATTATTATTAGCCCATTTTAGAACACGATAAAGATTTTATGCCTTGTAAATCAGAGATCACATCCTGTACAGAAGCTGTACAACTATAGCTATTGGGTCATTTAAAACATAAGGTAGAATTTCAAATTGAATCATAGGTGATGTTCAAGGGTTCTTTGCCCTGATCTTTGTGTGTGTATCTTCTGAATAGGGCAAGATATGGAGGTTGGCTAGCTACCTGCCCCTTCGCTGGTTAATAAGGTGACTGAGGTGCAGAGCTAGTGGTTTGGGGTTCAGCATCGAATGTTCAATATTCGTGGGCTTTTTGCTTAAAGTCATCTAATGTATCTCTTCTTCTTTTTTAAAGCATTTTATAGGGACATGGTTGCACACATATTTGGAAGAAAGAGGCGAGATGCAAATGTTGGATAACAAAGGTTCTCAACTTCATTAACCTAAACACTTGCCATCTTCCGTGGAACAGGAGCTGGTTGAGGCAGGGGCCTAATTGATGTCTCCTCCTCTTGTTTGAACAAAACTAGGCCAGGCCACACCAGCTCACCATACCTTTGGTGTTGTGTGTGGCCTTTGCTTCAGGCAAGCCACAAAGGAGTTCTGTGTCCCATAGCCCTGAGGGGGGAAAAGATCTCAGGAATACACAATCACCATAAAAGTGCCTCTGGGCATTCCTCAGTGACTCTTCTTACCCGTCGCCTTTCCCATGCTGTCCACTTAGTAACGGTAAAGGGTAAAGGGACCCCTGACCATTAGGTCCAGTCATGACCGACTCTGGGGTTGTGGTGCTCATCTTGCTTTATTGGCCGAGGAAGCCGGCGTATAGCTTCCAGGTCATGTGGCCAGCATGACTAAGCCGCTTCTGGCGAACCAGAGCAGCGCACAGAAACGCCGTTTACCTTCCCGCCAGAGTGGTACCTATTTATCTACTTGCACTTTGACGTGCTTTTGAACTGCTAGGTTGGCAGGAGCAGGGACCAAGCAACGGCAGCTCACCCCATGGCAGGGATTCGAACCACCGACCTTCTGATCAGCAAGTCTTAGGCTCAGTGCTTTAGACCACAGTGCCACCTGCGTCCCTTTGCTGTTCACTTACATTGTGACAAATCCAGTGAAATAAGTCTCAAGACAATTACCCCAATTTCCCCCCAAGGTGAAGTATTGAAAAGTGAAAAATACGACTTCACAAAGCCAACCAGGCCCAACTCAGCCCCAAATGACTGGTTTAAAACTTTAAATGTTTTCTGCACAACTTCCCCCGCCAGGTGCATCTGTTGGACATTTAGCAGGTTAACCCACTCCAGATAAGTTCAGTTACCTGCAAATTTCACCCATTTATGTGAAAAAGAGAAAAGCTATAGCTTTTTTAGATTATTATTTCCCATCACAGTTAATGGGGGCAAAGCAGAACTTTGGATTTAATAGATCTGTACCCATATTTGTACGAAATCATGAGACAGAGAGGTTCCAAAACAGCCTGCTTCCAAACACTACCGTTACAAGTTTAACATTTTGGTGGCTGCACACTCTTATTATATACACATGGCGTTAGGAAGAGAATTGTAAACGTTGGTGTTAAATGGCCATGAAACACAAAACTATACTACAGTAAATTACAAAAGGTAAAAGGTAAAGGACCCCTAGACGGTTAAATCCAGTCAAAGGCGACTATGGGGTTGCAGAGCACATCTCGCTTTCAGGCTGAGGGAGCCGCCGTTTGTCCACAGACAGCTTTCTGGGTCATGTGGCCAGCATGACTAAACTGCTTCTGGCACAACAGAACACCGTGACAGAAACCAGAGCACATGGAAATGCTATTTACCTTCCTGCCACAGCGGTACCTATTTATCTACTTGCACCGGCATGCTTTCAAACTGCTAGGTTGGCAGGAGCTGGGACAGAGCAATGGGAGCTCACGCTGTTGCGGGCATTCGAACTGCCAACCTTCTGATAGGCAAGCCCAAGAGGCTCAGTGGTTTAGACCACAGCGCCACCTGCATCCCTAGTAAATGACAAACTACTTTAGGTAAATGTATGTAAAACAACCTTTCATAGCAGCAGTAAATAGTGGTATCACAATCACTTTAGCGTTGCTGAGAAAAGTGACAATACAATTGCAGCTTAAATGTATGCAAAATTAGCACAGTAACGCTTCACAGCAGCAGTGACTGAGTTTGGCAAAATCATCTTAACACTGCTGAGCATATTAACCTCCGTAGTGGACAGAGAAACCATTATCTCCATTTAGACCCAAATGAACAGAGTTTAACTTTATGGTAAGTTGCATTTCAGCAGGTTCACACTGCTGTTTTTCTCTGAGGTGTTTTCGTTCTTGTAAGAGACTTCATAATAATTATCAGCAGTGCCACAGCTCCTAGGATTCTGCCCTGAGAAACCTTCAGCGATTTCAAGGAAACACAAACATCCAAAGGCCTGTTATCTATATCTCTTGGGAATCGGTGAGGAAAGATAATTTTGCAGAGCAAATTACCTATTTCTATTTAAAAAGAACACACACACATACACAAAACAAAATAATTGTGTCTTACACAGTCTGTTAATTACTTATGCACCAAACTTTAATCTCAGATCATTGATATTCCAAATTGTTTCTATTCTCTTGAGGATAAAAAGAGTCTTGGTTCAGATTGCCTTTGACTTCTAATTCATGCAGAAGTTCAAGAATATTATGAAATTATGTGGAACATTTCTCTCTCTTTCGCTGATAGTATAAGTGAGTTATAAACTGATTAACTTTTCCTTCACAAATTATAATGCAAGAGCAATTTTTAAAAGCAAATATTGACATGCAGGATTAAACTGTAAGTTCCCTGTAGTTCAACATAGCTATAATCCAAGTAGCAAGATACCTGGGAGTAAGTCCCAAGGAGCTTAATGGGACTTGCTTATTTCAAATATATAGCATTGTGCTGTAAAAGTGACTGAAAACACAGCAGCATGATCAAGTAACAAATACATGGAAGCCATGGAAAGCTTTTGAGTTAAAAATATTTTCACAAGTTTTGTTCTGCTCTTCCCAAGTGAATTCTCCTCCTCTGGCAATTCTGCAGAGTAGGAGACTCTGCATTAAAGAGCTCTGAGCAATCTTATATAGCAGGCTCTGGTTTATAAAATAACCAACATGCCTTTTCTACCTTCTTGCCTTTTTGCAGCGGACAAATACAAGAAAGAAGACTGTGTTTACCTGTCACTCACATTCTGTATTTTCTTTTAACTTATCATTATTTCCCTAGTTGTATTCATACTGGCAGATTTCTAACTTTTCCTTTAACTACCATTAATTTTTCAGTTGTTTTCAGAGAAAGAGAATTTGGCCATGTTCCATGGAACCATCTAGATCCAAACCAAACTCTTCTTTTTACTAATTGAAGTGCTTGCTTTAAACTCATTGGACGCTACCGCAACTGTATGAGGTAATCCAAAAACAATGTAGTTGTTCACAACTCTAATCCTTTGGAGGCAGCTATTTGCAATTTGGCACCTTCCCCCCTTTAAATAAAAAGATTCCATGAACAATGGGTTGGGATTGAATGAGGGATGTTGAAGAAGTCTGATGGAAACAGAATGGGAGCAGAAATTGCCTATGTTCACTTGATCATTCCATGTCAAGAATGGAAATTAATCTGGCCAATACGATCAGTCTTTGCAGTTGTTGCTGCTTTTAGCCCGCAAATGATATGCAGTTGAATATGTCCCCCTGCCCTGCACTTGTATTGTGCTTCCTTTCCATTGAAATGAATGGGATGGGGAAACATCACGACAATGCAGCTTACATAATTTATGTAATTGGTTATGTAAGTTACATCATTTCAACAGGGCGGACAGTGAGACAAATAACATCATTCTTGGTGGAAGACGAACTGCAGCAGAACAGAAATGGCGGCGCATGCAACAAATACAGGCTGGAACAGAAAACAATGCCTTCTTACAGCCCTAGCCTTGGATGTAAGTGTGTCAAAGCACACACTATTTCCATTGTGACTGTGATAATGGGGCTGTTTTGCATGAATGATCTTCCAGTGTGTGAGATGAGCATTCATTAAGATGGTGAACTCAATCCAGTTCACGTTGAGTTCCATATCCAGTGAACTTGCATGAAGATGAACATTCCTCTCTATAACAAAAGAAGGGCCCAGGCATCTCTAATGGGAGCAAATTAGCATTGTAATGCAGAGTTAAAGGTGTATTCCAGATTGTTTGTGTCCCTTGCTAGATTGTGGCATCAGTTTCTAACCTTCACACGGTTTTAAATACTTATGCATATTACTATTTGTGGATTTGCAGCCTCAGCATTGAAGACATTCCTTTGCAGACTGTTGACATCTTCTGCCTCTTTCTCTGTTAAATAAATAAAAGATGCAATTAGCAAAAATATTTTCCATTTTCACACAGTGTCTTAATCAGGTCTTGGTTATGGTGTTTGCAATCATGTTCTTGTTTTCATTGCAACTTAGACAAGAAATCAGAAGGTTTATGCAGGCATGGTGAATCCATAGATTAAATTCATCCCCTTAATGGTAAAGTCCTTCATCTTGCTGAATAGACAATGAAATTCATAGTTGCATGACAAAGCGCAACGTTTGACTACTTTTTCAATTTACAACATTAAAATTACAGTTTGACATTGATGGGAGGTTAATTAAACGGAAGCTGCCAGCAGATTTGTTCTGTAAAGAAGATATCGTTTACATTACATTGTGATTAGCCACCACACAATGATTCCTATTGTTTTTTCAATAACCTGCCATAAATGTATTATATGAAATACATGATTTCAAAAGGAAATAACATACGTTGCAAATTGGTAAAAAGAAGGTTTGGGGACTATTCATTTGCTGATAAATCCTTTCCTTTTATTCCACAAACATACCATTTAGAATCTGCGGGGGTTAATGTTAGTAAGGTTATGATTCTAAAAGTATTTCAGATTCACTGCCAGAGGGCTGTTTTCAGGCAACTGATGTACCTGGTCAGTTCATACAAGCCTGCACATCTTTCTGAGCTGAATCCAAACTGGTTTATCACCCAGAAAAGTAAGGCCAGTGGAGGTTCTCTTGTTCAAATGACTAAAGGCATGGGGTTCTTCTGCACACTGCCTATTTCTCTACATAACAAGAGTTCTATAACTATATAGAGTATCTGCTTTGCACCTCAGATGTCCCAGGCTTGATTCCCAGCATCTTCAGGTAGGCCTGAGAATGTGCCCAAACTGAAACCCTTTAAAGCCATTGCTGCTAAAAGAAAACAATACTGTGATGGCCTGGGATTCAGACTCAGAGGCTGAACCTGAGGAATCCCAGCCTGCACAGGAGTCCCCACCGCCAGAACCAGCTGAGATGGGGCTGGGGCTTGAGCCCGAAGGGTCCTCACCTGTGCTGGATCCTCAGGTGCAGGCACCAGCTGAGCCTGCTCTGGCTCCTGAGGTGATGGAGGACCCAATGCCTGCAGGTGCTCCACTCTCAGCCCCATCAGGGGAAGCTGAGGTTGCCTCTGGGTCCGGTAACCCTCCAGCCTCTCCTGAGCTGCAGAGGCTCAGGGCAGAGAGGCGGAGGGAACTAAGTTCCTGCAGGAGCAGTGCTCGCCTCCAGGCCAGGAGAGGCGAGTCACCTGTGGACCGGGGCCGCCCTATGCCTCGGGGCAGGTAAAAGCCAGCCAGCCCCAGTCCCAGGTTGCGGGAGCAACATTGTTGGTAGCCTGTTCCTGCCTGCACCCTGTCCTGCTCTTCTGCCAGAGTTCCTGACCCCACCCGACTCCCTGCCGTGGACCCAGCTTCAGCTTTGACGGACAGCCTCCATACCGCACCATCAACCTCGGACTGGACTTGGACCTCACCACACGGTTAACCCTTGGGACCAGCACAAATACCAAGCTGGATGGACCAATCTTCTGACTCTTCATGAGGCAGCTCCCTAGGTTTCTCTAAGCTGCTGGATCAAGCCAAAGGTGTAGCTTGTCCAGCATCCTGATTTCGACAGTCAGGTGTCTCTTGGAAGCCAAGCAATAATTTTCAGAATGTAAAATTAAAATTCTTTGGTTTTCTGAAAGCAGTTCATGTGCCTCTTCAGCGAAAGTAGTCTTGCCTAGCTAAATATTGTCGAGTCACAACAATAATAGTAGATTTGAATTCCTGACACCCAGAAACATATTTTTAAGACAGCTTACTGAAGAAATTTGCAAAAAATAAGTTTCACCCCCTAAAATGACAGCCTCTATAATGTAGTGATGATGATGATGATGATGATGGTGATGATGATGGCACCCATCTTACTGGGCTGCCCCAGCAACAAAAAGTGCACCTTTATCCGAAAAAAATAGAACTTACTTTTACATCACTCCGTCTGCTGGTGAAAACCTAACAGAAAGATAAAGTAAAACAATCTTTTCATTCCTGAGAGCTGATCTGAACCCCTTTCTTTCTTTTTTTTAAAGAGGGTCTGTGTTGCATTTTGGAAGACTTCGCAGTGCTCTGGAAAAGACATTGGGGCTAATTTGGTTGGGTTCATCACTGCCTCAGAAATTGAGCAATTGGAGAGATCATCAGGGGAAACTTCCTAACAGTAAGATCTAATGAACTGTCAAATGGTTTTCCATGGGGAGTGATGCTCTTGGCTCGTAGGAAACGAGACTGGAGGAGGCAGCAGAAAATATACTGTAGTGCGAGAAACAGCACTTCACGACTAGAGACTTGAACCAGACGACCTGTTATTTCTATTCTCTCCCCTGTAAACCTGTAGCTCTTTGATTCCCGCAGCAATGAGTGCTTCGATCGCAGGCTGCTGTGCCGCTTGCTAATGTGTACTCGAGGCAAGCCTGCACTTCCAGTCGCTGCGAGGGCTTTTGTGAAATTCGGGATGCTATGGCAAAAACCGTGCCTGCCATCGTTTATTTTAAAAGAGGCAAACACCCACATGTCCTTGCTATTTAAAGGCTAATGC